GCAAGTAACTAAATAAAATTTATTAAACGGTAATTTTACCCCAACTCTTCGACTCTTAATCTGTATAATTGTATCAATGGATCGAAAGCACTCTGATATATGTAAATATGTATCATCATTCTGTATAAGATACACTGTGTACTATATAAACAAAAAGACTGAATAAAGAAATGCCGGAAATTAAGATCTATGACTCAGATCATCTACACACAAAACAAATACAATTCTAAGATTCGGATACGTCTCAGAGTTGTGGGAGTTGATAAAGATTATGGAGATCCGTTAGTTCGGCCCCACAGTGGGAAATTTTCAGTGTTGCAGTCATCAGTGACAGAACAGTAGGAATGAGATGCACACAGCACAAGATGAATTAACAATACCTTTAAACTCGTTATAAAATATGATAAAATCTCTAACTTCAGCATAATAAATAATAATAATAATAATAATTCACGATAACAAACAGAGCCGAGAGAGAGAGAGTGAGAGGGGTCAGAGGGAAAGATCCCAGATAGAGACCTGTTGGACAGACCAGAAGAGACCAAAGAGACCCCAGATAAGAGACCAGACAGAGACCAGAGGAGAAAGACCACAGATAAGAGACCTGTGACCAGACCAGAGATAGACCAGAGAGAGACCAGAGAGAGACCAGAGAGAAAGACCCCCGATAGAGAGGTCACTAGAGAGAGAAGACCAGAGAGACGCCCAGATAGAGAGGTCACAGAGAGACCACAGATAGAGGAGGTCCACAGAGAGACCACAGATAGAGAGGGCCAACAGAGAGACCAGAGAGAGAGACCACAGAGAGAGAGACCACAGAGAGCCCAGAGAAGACCAGAGAGAGAGGCCACAGAGAGACCAGATAGTGAGTCCAGAGAGAGAATGTAGATTCTAAGATATTAATGTTTTTCCTAATTTGTTCTGATATTCCTCTCACCGTTGTCTGGTCTGCTCCGGTCACAGTTTGTCTTGGTCTTGTGTGAGTGAGAGAGAGGGAGAGAAGGAGTGGAGAGCAGAGTGAAGGGCGGAGTCACAAAACTCCCTCATTCGTGCAACTTTATCTTTTTCGCTTTCCAGATTTTACAGTTCACTTCAAATATATTTTTCCCTATTTTCTTGTATTTCTTACAGGCCAAACAATTACAAATATATGTTGGAAAAGTTGCTCTTTGCTAAAGTGAGAGATATTAAATTTTTCTTCTTTCTTATGTCAGAGATTGTATTGGTAACTTAGTACGTTTTGAGGTATTACTCATTTAGTCTTGTGCTCGTCATTGCTGCTGCCTCACTGGTGATGCAACACTGAATATTTCCCCACTGTTGGACCAAATAAAGGATCTCTTAATCTTTTGTCTAAACATTGTTTCCTTCATTTGTAGGATTTCCTGCGGGTGCGTTGCTGCACGTTCCCGACAGGTGCACTCCTACGGTTCAGACTCCCAGAGACCCTGCAAGAGAGATACTTCATGTTTTAAAACTTTGGAATCATCTGGAGACACTTGCCCACGGTCCCATGGGCCATATCACAACAATAGAACAGATCCGAAAGCAAAGAGAAAAAAGCTAAACAATTATAAATAAAAAAAATAAGAAAATGTTGGATCCAACCCAAACAAGCCAAGGAGGAAGGAGAAGTACCATGGAGGATTTACTGACGGGATCTGGAACATGGTGAAGGGTGAACCGGGTCTTTACACTGCAGTAGGTGTAGGATAGTACCATATGAACCAACTGGGACTCTGAGTAGCACAGGGACCTGGCCCACTGCTGGGACTCTGAGTAGCACAGGGACTGGCCTCCTCTGCTGGGACTTCTGAGGAGCACAGGGACTGCCTCCTGCTGGGACCCTGAGGAGCACAGGGACTGGGGGGGGGCCTCTTGCAGTGACTCCCAGCGAGCGACAGGGACTGGCCTCGCTGGTACTCTGAGGAGCGAGAATACAAGGACTGGCCTCCTGCTAGTCCCTGAGTCAGACTAAACAATGGCAAGGCAGCGTATTCAAAAACAGTTTTTTTTTTGAAAAAATAGTGAGCTTCTTCTCCAACAATTTTCAAATCCCAGGTTTAAAACTGATTTAGTTTCTCTGTGCAATTCAACTGCGGGACTTTATCTTCAATCTTTTTGTGCGTGCTTATTTATGTTATTATTTTGTTTTACAATTTTTTGCCTTTTTGTTAGGCACTTTGAGGTGCCTTGTGTATGAACTATATACATTCTTTAAGCCACAGTGACAAGAAAAGACAAGACTGAAACAGTACAATTTCACTTTGAGATTCACAGCTACTATTCACGAAACAGTTTAAAAAACCTTCAAACAAGGTCAGAAATTCTAGGGTAATACTGGACTCAGTAACATCAGCAGCTTTTAACCATCTAAAAAACATTGCCCAGGATCAAAAACATAGTGTCTAAAGCAGACTGTAGATTCGTATCATTGCATTTGTCTCCAGTAGGTTAGACTACTGCAATGGCCTGCCTCACAGGTCCTGTCCAAACATGCTGTAAAACAGCTGCAGTACATTCAAAATGTACTGCAGCTGACTAGAACCAGTGAGTACGCATCATATTAGTCCATTCTGCAGGTCTTCTGCATCTGGCTTCCTGTGGCTACAGAGAATAGAACTATAAAAACAGCTCTGCTTGGTAACAAGTCTCTCCATGGCCCTCGCACCAAAATATATTAGTGACATGTTAGTCCCATATGAACCAGACCCGGACTCTGAGGAGCACAGGGACTGGACTTCCTGTTTAGGGCCCAGAGTCCATAACTAAACATGGGGAGTTCTGCTTATTTCAGATTCATGCTGCTTAAAATCTGGAGACAATATCTTCCAGAAAGAATGTGAGACAGGCCTCCTCCTCTGACAATGTTTAAAACCAGTAAAACGATTATCTGTTTATGCTGTGGCTAACAACTGAGGGATTTTTATATTTTTATCTTTGGTTCTTTTTAAATGTACTCTGATTATTTATGACTTTTGCTTATTTTGTTCAGACCCTCTTAGTTTGCCCTTGTGTATGAATTGTGCAATACAAATAAACTTGCCTCTTCCTAAAATCGAACAGAGAGAGAGCGAGCGAGAGGGGGAGAGAGGCCATAGAAACCGGAGAGAGTCCCTGTGTGATGTGTGTGTTCTAATCTAAACTAATCTTTACCAACGACCAGTCCATCGTACTGAAATCTGAACACTAGATGGCAGTAGAAGACGGGATTTAGGGCAGAGCAGCACTTCATAGCCTAAAAAATAAATCCTGATAACCAACTAATAATAATAATGTCATGTCATTATATACCTGTATTGTAATAATACATCCAGTGGTTCCAACACATGATAAATTATACCGAAGAAATAAAAAAATCATGTTTAAAACTAAAAATAACACAATTCTAATAAAAGAATACATAGTTCCCACAGACCAATGAAATGTCACATGACCCTCCTCGGAGACGCCATCTTTGATGGCAGCTCTGCTGTGTTTGTGCATTCCATTAAACATGAAGACTGAGAATAAATGTGATATTCAAACGCAAATTGAAAAAGGGCAACTTGTTGAGCAAATAATTGTATATTGAATACAATGGCACCACAGTTTAACGTGCAACGGACATGTTTTTTACATATTTGATCAATAAATGCAGCAAAAATTAACAAGCAAAGCAAACATTTCCCAAAAACTTTATATTTAATACCATGTTGGAGCTCCATTTAATTATTTTAATTATATTAACAATTAATTTAATAAATGCTAATGCCACACCGGACGCACTCTGGATTTGCTGTTATTGTTTATTTTCGCATTTAGTTTTTTTTTTACCGTATGTTTTGGTGAATGGGTGGGCAACTGATTTTTCCAGGCGTAAAGAGCAGTTTATTTATGACACAGATCTTTTTACAGAAGCAATGCTGTTTGTGAACATTGTTTTTAGCCCACCATATAACTATTGATTATCTATTTAATACATTTACGTTGCCTCTCGAGAGCCTCGGGACGCGACAAGAACCCGACATCCTCATAATAAAGTAATCTAACGCTAAAATAATGACACTCTCAATGTTACCAGACTATCAGCATACACAAGGTTAGTACTGAGTAAATTTTCGTCTGGTCAACACATTATAAGATACGATAACGCACACAGACACAAAGTGCTCCGAGCATATTGCTTGCTTGTTTTGAGGTAGTTTCTTGCCTGTTTATCTTCGCAAGCCATAACCTCCGTGGTTTTTCTGACAAAAGCTTAGTTTCTCACATTTCATGAAGTCTAATGATGGGTATACTGTAAAATCCAAGTTTAACGGAACCCGGCACAACGATTTGAACATCCATTGACCCAGCAGGAGATGACCATTTTCACTTTATCACGACATTAACACGTTTCAGCTTCTTTTTCGTAAATGTTTGGCCCACAGAATGCCAACACAAATGGCAGCCGGGTCGGCAAAATCCCCGTATGTAGTGACGTCCATGTGGGAACTGTGCGTGCGCGTGTGCGTGCGGTGTGTGTGTGTCTAGCAATGTATCAATCATCATACCATTCAACTAAAACAAACGGTTTTAAAACATTTATCATCTAAACACTGCAAAGAAGATGAATACATATTAAAAGTTGTAATCAATTGCGAACGTTTTAAGACTAATGTCAGTGACGCCCCTGCAGGTGATAGTCAGATCCCGTAAGACCTCTGAAGTAATAGCAGTACAGGGCCTGATTAATACTGTGAACGGGAGACCTTGAATCAAAATCAAATACAAAGTAGTGATAGATGAATGTTTTCCCCGCTTCTTTGTCCTGCACCTGTTATTTTTATCTGAAGAAATGACCACATGCTTTTCACACAACTTGTGTCAAGTAGTTCTGTAATCAAATAGTAATTCGAGGCTTGTGGTCACTTTTACTTCTTGAGCTACAAAAGTGTATCTGTCCAGCGGCGTCCGGTGCTGGCTGGGACTGAGGGAGTGCAGCCAGGGGGCGCTGTGGTGGCCTGAGCTTATGTCACATGTGTAAAGTGTTAGCGAGGAGTGAACACCTGGCCTACATTCTGATCCTCCACATCTGCTACTGCTTAATCCTCACTCCAGAGCAGCACTGGACACAGCTCTGGTCCAGCAGTGGTCAACTCATAGGTTACATATCTATGGTTCAACCTCTGGGATGGAAACCATGTGTCCAACAAAGAGGATATTTGGGGTGACAGAATGAAAATGACTTTAAACGTTGAACAAAATAAGACTGTTTTTTCAATGCTGGGAAATGTTTAAACCTTATTTTTTTTTTTTATTGTTTTAATCAAATCATTGTACAATATGTCAAAAAATACAAAAAGCAAGTTAAGAAGTAGCTTTTCTTCATGGTGTAACCTAAAATCTTGCCCATTAGACAAGTATAAAATCTCTTGTTAAATAAACCACAATCACAATAAATGACAAATATATTTATAATTTGTGCCTTGAAATTATTGGTGGACCATGATACTAATGTTCAGATCTCTCAGTGCTCCTTTTGTCCCGTATAGTCATTTGTTTGATCCGTGTGTCACCGCTGCAGCAGGAAAAAGCTTTGGATTCAGAATCTGTGAATGAACTCCAACGCGTCTATCCATACAGTGTGCGTCTCTGTAGCTGTGCGCCAGGTCTGGCGGCGTTCATCAATGTAGAGGCCCCTTATGCAAATCTCACAACTTATAAAATTAACCAGTAATATAAGGGTCTACAAAGTTGTTTAGATTACAAGTTAAGTAAACTCAAAAAACCATTTTTTTCCCTTTTTTTTTGGCTGCTCTGTTGTGCTGTCCTGTTCTACAGTATGTACAAGGATGGTCTATTTATATTTGTCTTTCTACGACATTTCTTACAATATTATTATTATTATTACAATCTATTATTTTTTATACAGTTATTCCTTCTCGTCCGTGTCGAGCTCCCATACCAAACCCTAGGTTGTTCAGTCAATCATATATACCACCTATTGCAATAATTAATCCCTAAAAACTTTGAATATTTAATGAGTGTTTACAATGACATTTTTTACAAGGTTGTGCTTATCAAACAGTTTAGATTCAAACCCAATACATGTATAATAACATCTACAATGGTAATATCTAATCGACCCCAGGCAACGTTGGACCCATAACAATTGGGCATTCGGGGCCAAAAAGGTTGAGAATCTCTGCACACGTGTATACATTATTTTGAACTTGATTAATGAATAAATACACTAAAAAGTGGGGTGAGAAAAAATACCTACTTTCTAATCCACTTCAGAAGTTACCTGATTTCAGTATTATTTACAGGTTGACCTAATGACGGAAACAAAATTGGCCAACACAAATAAACAGAATCAAAACAGTTGAGAACACAGTTAAATAAAACACATACAGCCCTGGTCCATAAGGGGCAGAAGACCAATGTCCATAAATGTTGATAGAGTCCCAATGAACTGTGCTTATCACTGAAAACAGTATTGGCAATTACACACATCTTTTTCATCCTCCTTTTATGGTACACTTTCAGTTCTATGGAGACCTTCCGTCTTGTCACTGCCTTCCATGACATAAGCTGTGCATTCTTGATAGAGCTGCTTCTTTGCTTTTTTTGGTGGAAATCTGCTTTACATCCATCCTCCCAGATGTTTGTAGATAGTGCAGGTTCCACTGACTCTGTCTTCGATCCTACGTCTTCAGCCTCCCCGCAGCTGGGACACTAAACCGACCTGGCCATGTTCTCTTGCCGTTCTCTTTTGTTAGATACTTTTTATATTCCCTGAACACTGTGAGCAGAAGGGTTTTATGGTCCGTGATCAAATTGAACTTTTCCCTTCCTCCTTTTTTCAATCTGGGAGTCATTATCTCTTTGCCAGTGAGATGCCGAACGTTTAGGAAGTTCAATTCCATTTATTTTGGTGTATATCCCTGAATCGACAACAGTAGTTTATCTGCGGAGGACTTTACAAAACTGTTGAATTTGCCATGACAGGAATCAGAGAATCAAACAGTTCAAAACACAACAAATGCAATGATAAAAAACACACATGGAGCCCTTAGTCTGTAAGTCCTAGATCAACACTGGGCGGACCTATTGATGCTCTTGCTGTCAATCATAGTGTGCTGAATAATAGCTCAAATCCAAATGTGGGAGAAAGTGGCAGCTTGGATCTAAAGAAGTACAATTGTATCCACTGTACATTTATTTGCACTTTCAAAACCACCCACTTTACTCCACCTCCAATCAGTTTAGGTCCTTCAGCCAATCTGTGTACTCTTGCTGCTGAGAATAATTACCGACATTTTTTACCTTATCCAATAAAGCCTCTGAGCTCTTTTTCGTTTGTGGCGTCTTCCAGAAGGGTAAACTCAATTTTTGTGTCCAGCATGAACCTTGTATAATCTGTGAATATATTGGTGGTAATGTTGTATAAGGCTGTAAAACCCTCACATTCATGTTGTACACTTTTCTAACCAGTCTGAACTCACAAAGGCTAAGTGAGAAAGAGAGCAGGAGGTATCAAATCTGTTTGTTTGAAGGTCTGAGCAACTGCTGCAGGCTGTCAAAAGCCGTGCATACACTGTAAAAAGAGCTTTAGAGACACTGAGGGGCAGAGCAGATGGCACATGCATGACCCAGAGAGAAAAGAAGTAGAGACCAGATGAGAGACCAGAGAGAAAGACTGAGAGATATAATAGATGAGAGACCAGATAGAGGCAGTGGTAGTTGGCAGGGCACACCAAGACACAAAACGTGTCTCTATATCAAAAATGCTAACTGTCATATCTGGCGGTTATAGGATGTTATTGAAGTGTACTTGTGTAAATAGAGTACTAAGCCCTAACCCATGCACAGTACTAATCAGGCCCTAGCCCTGCTTAGCATCAATGATGTTGTGTTGGGAACGTGCTTTCCACATGCAGGTGCGCCATCCTGCCACACTTACATTGTTAATAAAGTGTTTTATTTTTTGTTTTCAGTTTCATTTGTCCAACACTAGTTCTACACGCACACACTAACACACACACACAAATACACATACATATAGGCACGCACACTCATTACATACACACTCACACCAGCACACACACTCACTACAGGAAACACTTTTTACATTGTTCTGTGATCATTATGCCTGAGTGTTGTTGTTTTTTTTAAATCTTTATACTGTTTTGGAGTTGAGCCTTGCGTATGAAACTGTGCCAAACAAAAAATTTACCTTGCCATGCCTTAACACTCACGGACTGCACCACAGTCCAGGACCGGGGCAGAGAGGGCTGGTTCCTACAGCCGAGGAAGGGTCGTTCTCGTCTGCGGTCTGTCCGGGCGGAAGAAGGGGAAAAATCCAGCCCACGCTTTTCTCATTGTTTGCACACCGCGGTGGAATGCTCGCTGGTTTGGTGCATGTTTGAAAAGATCAGGGCTTTTCTGGATCACCGCTCTAACGCTCATCTGGATTCGGGACACTATTCGACAAAAGCTGACCCATGTGAGAAGCAGAAGAAGAAGAAGAAGAAATAAAAAAAAGAAAAAGTAGGTGGGATATTTTTTTTTTTTTTTTGTAAACACCCGCCTTCAAGAGTCTGCGCACGTCTCGCTGGAATCCTGGACTGTCTGTGAAGCGGGCGAGAAGGGTAAAAACATGTTTTTTTTTCCCCTTTCTTCTTCGCATGTATTTTTTTTTGTTTTTTTTTTTTTTTTTTTACAGCGGATGTGGCAAAGCAAAGGGAAACCAAGGGAAAGAAACCAGACAGAGACAGCAGGAAGACCTAGATTACGAAGCGAAGGAGAGACGTGGATAAACATGGCAATCCGTTGTTGGCGGGTCCAAAACTAACCCACTTATCTGCCCAGACTTATATATGTATAACATGTTTAGTTGTGTGTGTGTGCGTGCCTACGTTTACACACACATATATATTTTTTACATATTCAGTCTGCGGTCATTCCTGATAACTTTTGACCTCTCGCAGACAGTCTAATGTATTACACACGTATCGCGTATCTCCTCGCGTTATTATCATATTTTTTTCTTTTTTTCTTTTTTTTTTTTTTTTACCAAGCTAGTGTCCCACCTCCTAAAAAGGTAATAGGCAGCCCAACGTCAAGCACTCCGTTCCTCCTGCTTCCCACACTTCCTCCCAGAACATCGGTGCGGATGTACAGGGCGAGATTGTGGTTGCCCAACTGTCCCGGATGGTTGTCTAATAATCCCTGGGGTGCGTTTGTTTTGTGTTTTTTTTGAGATTTGAGGATTTGTTTTGTAGAGTTTGTGGGTGAAATTGTGTTGTGCAGTCACTGTTGTAATGGCACTAGCGGTCATGTTTGTAATGGGTGCCAAAAAAAATGATTCTCTAAACGAGGCAGGCATGTCCCATGTTCAGGCCCGCGGGTCAAATGCGTCCGTTGGTGATGTTGCGTGGCCGCCTCTGCTTTGATGTAAGGATTTGAGATCATATATGACACAGTACTTCAATTCAATTCAAGTGTGTTTTTGTGTACCCTTAAATCACTAGCAGCGGCTCATCGCGGAGGAGTTTTGCAAAGTGTGGGGAAACGCATAGAATATTGACAAAGTGGCTTTTTGGCAGTGGGCCGATTAAGTAGATCTTTTATTTGTCCCCGCAGTGGGGGAGGTTTCAGTGTGGGCTTCATTTGTTACAGAACAGTAGAAATGAGAAGAGACCTTTGCATAGATAAAGGAAGGGGGGGGGGGGGGGGGGGGGGGGGGGGGGGGGGGGGGGGCAATAACTTTTATAATAAAATAGAATAAAATCGTCCAACTTTATTGCTTCCAGTAAAAGTTGTCTACGTCCTGTATCGTCTGACATAGTAAAAAAGTGAAAATCTTCTTGAGTGTGAGCGATGGCGACAGTGAACTTGTAAACAGAGCGTGCACGAGGAGAACTGGGCTTGTGGCACTCCGCTCTGTTTTACAGTCCACTGTCGCCATCGCTCACACTCCAAGAAGATTTTCACTTTTTTTACTATGTCAGACGATACAGACGTAAGAACAACTTTTACTGGAAGCGAATAAAGTTGGAGATTTTATTCTATTTTATTATAAAGTTATGTTACCCTTTATCTTAGCAATGTCCTCATCCTCATTTCTACGTTCTGTAACAAATGAAGCCACACTGAAACCTCCCCACTGCGGACAAATAAAAGATCTCTTAATCTGCCCACGCCAGAACACTTTTCATAATCTATGCGTTTCCACACACTTTGCAAAACTCCGTCCGCTATGACCGCTGTAGTGATTTAAGGGCTACACAAAAACACATTGAATTGAATTGAAGTTTGTCCATATATGATGCTCAAATCCTACATCAACAGCAGAGGCCACGCAACATCCACAACGGACCGCATTTGACCCGCGGGCCTGGAACATGGACATGCCTGCACGTTTAGAGAATCATTTTTTTTGGCACATTACAAACAATGAACCGCTAGTGCCATACAACAAGTACTGCAACACAATTCACCCACAAACTCTACAAACAAATCGTCAAATCTCAAAAACACAAACTAACGCACCCCAGTGATTATTATACAACCATCCGGACAAGTGGCACCCAATCTCGCCCTGTTACATCCGCACCGAGTCTGGAGGAATGTGGGAAGAGGAGGAACGAGTGCTCTGACTTTGGCAGCCTATTTCCCTTTTAGGAGGTGGGACACTATTTGGTAAAAAAAAAAAAAAAAAAAGAAAAAAAAAGATAAAATATGATAATAACGCGAGGAGATAACGCGATACGTGTGTAGATACATTAGACTGTATGAGAGGTCAAAAGTAATCAGGAAATGACCGCAGACTGAATATGTAAAAATATAATATGTGTGTGTAAACGTAGGCACGCCACACACACAATAACATGTATACATATATATGTCTGTCCAGAAACGTGGGTAGTTTTGACGCAACAACGGTTGCCAAGTTATCACGTCTCCCTTCGCTGTAATCTATCTCTGCTGCCTCTGACTGGTCTTTCCCTTGTTTTCCCTTTGCTTGGCCACATCCGCTGTAAAAAAAAAAAAAAAAAAACATAAAAAAATACAACTGCGATAGAAGAAGGTGAAAAAAACATGTTGTTTAGCCTCTCGCCGCTTCACCGCAGTCCAGATTCCAGCGAGAGTGCGCAGACTCTGAAGGGGGGATTACCCAAAAAACAAATAAATATCCACAACTTTTTCTTTTTTTATTTCTTCTTCTTCTTCTTCTCTTCTCCACATGGGTCGCTTTGTCGCATAGTGGTCCCCTAATCCAGATGAGGTTAGAGCGAGATCCAGAACAGCCCTTGTATTTTCAAACATGCACCAAACCAGCGCATTCTCACCTGCGTGTGCAACAATGAGAAAAGTGGGCTTGGATTTTCCCCTTCTCCGCCCGGACAGACCGCAGAGAGAACGCCCTTACCTCGGCTGTAGGACCCTCCTCTCGTCCCGGTCCCATGGACTGAGTGCAGTGTGAGTGTTAGGCAGGCAAGGTAAGTTTTTTTGTATGTCACAGTTCATACGCAAGGCTCAAACAAACAAGTATAAATGGGTTTAAAAAAACAATCACTCCAGGCATAATGATCACAGAAAATGAAAAAAGTGTTTCTGTGTGAGTGTGTGTGTGTGTGGGTGAGTATGTATGTGTGTGCGTGCATATATGTAGTGCTGTTTTTGTGTGTGTGTGTATGTGTGTGCGTGTAGAACTAGTGTTGGACAAACGAAACAGAAACAAAAAATAAAACACTTTTATTAATAAAAAACAATGTAAGTTATGCAGATGGCGCCACTGCATGTTGAAAGCCAGATCCCAACGACACATCTGATGCTAAGCAGGGGCAGGGGCCTGTTAGTAACTGAGAATGGGTAGGGTTCGTCCTCTCAATTACACAAGTACACTCCAATAACATCATATAACCGCGCAGTATGACGTTAGCCCTTTATGTATAGAAGACAAGTTTTGTGTCATGTGTGCAGCTGGCCAAAACTAACCAACTGCCTCTCTCTGGTCTCTCTCCTTGTCCGTCTCAGTCTTTCTCTCTGGTCTCTCTCTGGTCTCTCCTTCTTTCTCTCTGGTCTTGATGTGCCATCCCGCTCCTGCCCTCCTCAGTGTCCTCTAAAGCTCGTCTTTTTTTACAGTGTATGCACGGCTTTTGACCAGCTGCAGCAGTGCTCAGACCTTCCAACAACAGATATGATACACTCTGCTCTCTTTCTCACTTCAGCTTTTGTGAGTTCAGGCTGGTTAGAAAAGTGTACAACGTGTAAGTTAGGGTTTTACAGCCTTAAAACATACCACCAATATTTCACAGATTATACCAAAGTTCCATGCTGACAGAAATAGAGTTTACCCCCTTCCTGAAGACCCCACAAACAGAAAGAGCTCAGAGCTTTCTGAAAAGGTGAAAATTTACTGTAATAGTCTCTCGCAGCAAGTACTACAGATTGCTGAAGGACAAAACCTGAATGGAGGTGGAGTAAAGTGGGTGGTTTTGAAGAAGTGCAAATAAAGATACAGTGATACATTTACTTCTTTTATGATCAAGCCTGCCACTTTTTCGCCACAATGTGATTTGAGCTATTATTCAGCACACAAGATAAGACAACAGAGCATCAATAGTCCCATGATGATCTAGGACTTATAGACTAAGGGCCTCCATTTGTGTTTTTTTTATCATTTGCATTTTGTTGTGTATGAACTGTGTTGATGTCTCTGATCTGTCTTGGCAAATTCAACAGTTTTTGTAAAGTCCTCCGAGATAACTACTGGGGTGGTATTTTTTTTTTGTGATTCAGGGATATACACAAAATTAAATGGAATTGAACTTCTAAACGTTCGCTCTCACTGGCAAAGAGATAATTACTCCCAGATTGAAAAGGAGAAGGGCAAAAGTTCATTTGATCACGGACCATAACCCTCTTCTCACAGTGTTCAGGGAAATAATAAAAAGTATCTTAACAAAAGAGACGGCAGAACATTCCTTGTGTCCCTGCTGCTGGAAATAAACAAATGGGTTGGCGCATGGATCTATAATAATAACGGGTTTGGCGTAATGAGTTTCGCGGCAAACAAAACTCATATGACGTCGCCGAATGGTCCTACTCTGCATTGGAGACATGGACACTGAAAGGACTGAGGGAGAGGAAGGTTCACGTAAAAGTTCCACCCGCTCCTTTTTACCAGGAACTCCTGCAGTGGAAACGCGGCTTATGTATCATTTTGCTGAGTAGAAGCCTTTGTACAACCGCATCGCGAAAAGTCGTTTATTTTATTAAACCTCCTCTCTTGACAGCTCTAGAATACTCCATTATTGTGCCCATATTCAAGTCCAGTTCTCCTCATATTCCAGACTTGACAGTGGAGCACCACTGATCTGATTTGTCCCATTTCCAGAGCCGCCGTTGGCCTTCATCACTCTCCAGGTACCATGTTCCTCACAGACAACTCCTCCCCTTGGCCTGGACCCCCATCTCACCCCCCTGAGCGTTTCGCTCTACAGCTTAGCATCAAAGAGCCGTGAACAAGATCGAGCACTGAAAAGATTATTGGAGAAGACCAGGTAATTCATACAACACAGAATTCAACAAGGTTAAAGCTAAGGAAGGTTTCTCACCCATCATCTGTACTTCTTAGCGTTTCCCGACGTTTCGTCCTCAAACCAGGAGGGAATGAATTCTCAACCCGCGTTGGAGATATAACCCTGATACATAAAAACAATCTAAGGTCTGATATCAGGATTAGGGTGTGGCTAACCACACCCATAGGTTATAAATCTCCAACGCGCGGTCTGAGAATTCATTCCCTGAAGAAGTCCGCTGGTTTGAGGACAAAACGTCGGGAAAACTTGCTAAGAAGTACAGATAGGTGAGAAACCTTCCTTTGCTTTGACTAATCCCTGTATGACTGAGGGCTTACACAAACATAGGTTAAAGCTGTTTACCCATACGGAAAATAAGTACAAATATGTTCTAAACGTTTTGTAGGACTTGCTTGAAATGTATAGATTACACATATAGAAAACCATGTTTAAATATTATATAAATCCTTTGACAGTCAAATCCAACACAAAGTGCATAGTAATATTTTATGTCATGTCGAAAATAGTATGGAAAAGTATGAAAAAAATGAGTAGAATTGTGTAAGGTTTGTTTGCATTTTATCACTCATTTTGCAGAATATAAACATCCTATCTCTTCGAGATATACTGTATAGGCATTGAACATGTAAGACTGCTTCCTAGATGTGGTAATTTGGATATTCTACTGTCAAAAAGGGGAGCAACATGTTAACTAATAACAAATGTGACCTTTTTAAGAATATTTACCTCCACCATGTTTTTTTAATTGTACTCATAGGCTTAGAATTGAACTTATAAGTGTCCATGAGAGAGGAGGACTATCCGTGTAAATGCGCCATCTTGAAAACCGGTGGTGGATAAGGACAAAAAGCGAGAAACGCGTTTTCGTTTCACATAAGCTACTGATATTGATTTCACCGGGCCTTCACAATTTGGAAGAAGGAACCATGGAGGACCACAGTTATATAAAAAGAACCACAGAGGACCACAGTTATGGAAAAGAATGATCGGAACAACAATCTTTTAGATAAATAATTATGTAGAAGTCCAGTGTCATAGCAGCAAAGTGTCAACATCGCAAACCACACGCACAAAGACAGCGTTAACAACAGGAGGTGCATCGTGTATTTTGTACACAACAGACTCACACGTGAACAATACGTAACTTTTTCACACTGACAATAAGTACGAGGCAGAATCTGCAACACAGTCTCAGGATGTTCTGACCCGATCCAAGCGCAGTCCAACTACTATGTCACAAGTTTCAACTAAACTTATTCAGGGACAAGCATCAAATGAAACACACAGAATCCCCATAAAATGATCGCCAGAATAATGTATCAGCAGCGAGAGTGAATGTTCTGTTTTTCTTACCTGGTGATGCAGATTGGGCGCTGTGGCTAACGCTAACATGAGCTTTGCCATGTCCTGCTGCTGCTGTGTATACATAGTTCCCACATGACGTCACTACATACGGGGATTTGCCGACCCGGCGCCATTTGTATTGGCATGCTGTGGGCAAAACAATAGAAAAAGAAGCTGAAACGTGTTAATGTCGTGATAAAGTTGAAAATGGTCATCTCCTGCTGGGTCAATGGATGTTCAAATCGTGCCGGAGGTTCCGTTAAACTTGGATTTTACAGTATACCCATCATTAGACTTCATGAATGTGAGAAGACTAAGCTTTTGTCAGAACAACGACGGAGGTTATGGCTTGCGAAGATAAACAGGCAAGAAACTCCCTCAAAACACGCAAGAATATGCTCAGAGCACTTTGTGTCAGGTGCGTATCGTATCTTATAATGTGTTGACAGACGTAATTTACTCAGTACTAACTTGTGTATGCTGATATCTGGTAACTTGAGAGTTTCATTATTTAGATTACTTTATTATGAGGAGGATCGGTGTCGCGTCCGAGGCTCTCGAGGGCAACGTAAATGTATTAAATAGATAATAATAGTTCTATGGTGGGCTAAAACAATGTTCACAAACAGCATTGCTTCTGTAAAAAGATCTGTGTCATAAAATAAACTGCTCTTTACGCCTGGAAAAATCAGTTGCCCACCATTCACCAAAACATACGGTCAAAAACGCGGAAATAAACAATAACAGCAATCCAGAGTGTCCGTGTGGCATTAGCATTAATTAAATTAATTGTTAATATAATTAAAATAATTAAATGGAGCTCCAACTGGTATTAAATCTAAAGTTTTTGAGAAATGTTTGCATTGCTTGTTAATTTTTGCTGCATAATTCGATCAAATATGTAAAACATGTCCGTAGCACGTTAAACTGTGGTGCCATTGTATTAATATACAATTATTTGCTCAAAAGTTGCCCTTTTTTTCCAATTTGCGTTTGAATATCTACATTTATTCTCATTCTTCTGTTTAATGGAATGCACAAACACAGCAGCGTGCCATCAAAGATGGCGTCTCCGAGGAGGTCATGTGACATTCATTGGTCTGTGGGAACTATGTATATCTCCTGCTTCTTTGATCACCACAGTTTTAACCTCACACAGACTTTATTCCTCCATGTGTCTCTTCTCTTCACACCACATTTGTAAAACTATATATTATAATAGATCCATGGTAAAACTCAGTAGAGCCTCTGTGCAGGGTGCTGCTGTCTGAACGCGGTCTTGTTTACATGTCGCCTCCACGCGTCTGTGTCAAGTGCCCGAGACATTTGGAGAGAGCCGGTCATTTATCAAACTAAAGTATTCTTTCCTTGGCAGTCTGGTGAAAGACTGAGAGTTGAGGAGCACTGTCAAACAGTATAGGCAAAAGTCTCCTTAACTCTACAGGCACCCATACTCAAATCTCAATATATGAGACTGCAATATAAGATCTCAACGCTAGAGGCACTAGAAATTACACAGTGTACCTTTAATATAAAAGTTGAATATAGTCTTTGTATATTATTAAGTTATATATAATAAATAATCAATATAACATCTGTATTCATACATATATGGGTAATACACGTATTCTCTTTTTTTCATAGAGTGTAAAAAAGTAAGCACGGCTTCAAAGGAAGGGGGATGGAGCTTGGGTCCTTTTTTTTTTTTTCGATTCATGTGCCTCTCTCTTTTTTCTGACAAACTCCAGACACTTTAACAAAATAAAGTTGTTTTGAGAGCAGAGTTTGAGTTTTGATAAAGGAGTTTCATTTTGAGACTGATGTGTCTGGTTTTTGTCCCAGTGTGTGTCAGGTTCTCGTGTGTGTAGAGTTTTGGGACAATGAGCGAAATTTTGCAAACTGTGCTCAAGCAACAGGAAAAAACTGTAATATAAATACGTTGATTCCTCCCAAAAATCTTATTTTCAGATTGTCAGTGGAAAGAATGGAACAAAAATATGAGGCATTTTGTTTGATCTGTGGGATGTGCTATAACTAACAGTGACGTGCGGTCAGGGAAGGCAGCTGAGGCCCACTAGCAATCACGAAAAAGTAATAAAATGGAAGCAATAATACTTGGTAACGATATCATGTGATTTGTGCTATAGTATTATTTGAATGTGACTTTGCCTTATTTAACATATTTGCAGATTTTTGTCATTTTTCTCATATTGGACAGAGCGGCACACTATGAAGCGACCCTGATTTGGGTGACGTAAATGCCTCAGTTCATAGTGGGAGAAGCCCGTTCAGTGCTATTAAACTGTTTTCCTTTAAATCAACATCTAGAGATGATGTTCAGATGATGGGTCATAAAATGTGTTTTTGAAAACAAATATGGGTCTTTATCGCTCTCAACCACAGCTTGTAAAGTCGCCAATTGAGGCGAGCCTCAGGGTTACTTTTTAAAGGTTAACAGGGCTTATTTCCAAATCGAGGATTACAAATCTACGCCCAAACTTTTATCTGGACTTAAAAAAGAAACTGGCCTGAACCAAAATGGTCTGTGGAGTTCATTTATAAGGTAGGGCTCATAACACACTTATAAATGTGCTTTTTACAAACTTTTGCATTTTGTATGAGCAAACGATGTGGACATGAAACATATTTTGCAGTAGCCAAACAAATTGTGAATAAACCACTCTGTAGGGCCTGTTGAAACATATTGTAAATATGTATACATCTGGTTGGGGTGAAGTCCACTCACCAGCCTCACCGCACGTCACTGATAACTGATGTTTCTACATACTATTGAGTTTTTCCCTAATGTAAAACCTCACAGAAATGAAAAAAAAAATCACAAAAAGAGGTGTTTCATTTGGAAATAGAAAATAATGTCTCTGCCAAACAAGACGAAAAATATACAGTAGTACTTGCTTGTTTCATTGACAAAAATCTACTTAAAACAAGTTACTTTTAACCAAATACAATATTAATTTTCATGTTATCTTAACTTAAATGATTGCATTTGCGATTTATGGTATGTAAATAATGTGTTGTGTCACAGTAGAGCATGTAAGAACTGTTCTAGACAAATAAACTGGACTTGCCTGGTTGCAGGAGATCGTGGGATTAATGCCATCTTTGAGCAGGATGAGCTGCTGCTGTCCTGCCTCGCTCTGTCCCATTCCTCCTCCGTCCTTATCACTACCGGCTTCCCCACACACTACATGCATAAGTGAGTCACCTTGTCCAGGAAGTATGCTATACAAATAAACTTGCCTCGCCTTGCTTGAGTCCAACGGGTACAAGCTAAGAACGTTTCGCAATCAGGAGTTCACAGGCAATAACGTGGGACTGAGTCAAGTATCAAAAACATATGCCAATTAGTATTACTTCTACTACTAAAACTCATTTATAGCACATAATCATTGCTTTTACTCACACAAGTCTGTCAAAAATAAGAGAGGAAAGAACATTATTTATGTAGAGCATACATAATTGCAGGACTTCAACTCACTATACTTAACAAAAAGAGTGAACCTAAACAAATCGCAATTTAACATACTGTATAGACTCTTCCATAAGAAAATCCAAGCAAGTGAGTCTAGGTTACGCTTTGGATAAACTGAAATAGTAAAGTAAAACATTAATGGTGTATGTGTTTTTTTTTAAAGGGGACATAACCTAAAATCGACTTGGCTTATGAATTATGTTATACTTGCTTCGCTCCTCTCCTCTCAGCCTTCTGTCTACTCATCCAACACCAAGCCCCATGTTTTTATTCTTTTTTTGGCAATTTACTTTTATGAATCTGTAATATGTGGAGGATTCTCCTTCGCTCAGTCCTTTTTGCTGAATTTTTGCAACTCTGTCTGTTCCATGCATTTGGAACATGTTGGTATAGCTACTCAACTCGTAGCTTCTATTATTGTTATACTTATAGTAATGTTTTAGACGGTATTGCATCTGTTGTTACTACAATGCCTGCTACTCTCATCCATTTACTGATTTAATTACATTTGTATTCAGTGCTACTTTCTGTTCTTCACAGTTGGAATAACAAATGAACACATTTTCTTTTGTCTGGTACAGTCCTCCAGATGAGACAGATGGGCCTCCTGGAGCTGTGGCCCTGGCGAACATGCTGTTGTCCCTGGGCAAACGGGTAACCATAGTGACGGACCGGAGAGGCCTCCAGCTGAACCAGGACATCATCAACGAGGCCGTGAGCTCAGGTCAGAGAGCTTTTACCAGTGTGAAAGTATACAATTCAATAAAGTTAGAGCTGGAGTACCTAACTTTGTTTGTCACAACAGAAAAGGTATGGGTTAAGTACCTAAGTACCTATTACAGAACCCTAACGCCAATGTATTATGCCCCTGTCATCACTGTAACCAAAGCTCTTTTCTTACTCCAAAAAACGAATAATAACGCATAACATATGCCCAACACATACATTCCATACACAAAACATACAGCCAAATATGCGTGTGTAGTGATCAGAGCAGAGTAAGAGCGGCGTTAGAGCGGCGTTGGAGCGGCGTTAGAGCGGCGTTGGAGCGGCGTTAGAGCGGCGTTGGAGCGGCGTTAGAGCGGCGTTAGAGCGGCGTTAGAGCGGCGTTAGAGCGGCGTAAGAGCGGCGTTAGAGCGGCGTTAGAGCGGCGTAAAAGCGGCGTTAGAGCGGGAAGAAAACAATGAAATTTCAATGAACAAAAAAAACTGAGGGATTTGTAACAAGAAAAAAATTCAAGATGACAAGGGACACTAAAATCCCCACAAAATCCGACCTTTATGAAAGCTGTAGGTTCTCTGTCAGCTGAGGTTGAGCTGTTTTAATTTACATTGAGTTCTATGGGACATTTTTCTGGGTAGCCCACGTGAATTTAGTCTGCAGTATCACGGGCGCCCCCTGTGCCCATTAGTGGGACAGCTATAAGCTAGTAATACCCTATCCAGATATTATTTTTGATCCATGGGAAAGAGACGGGAGTGAGCGCAGACTTTATATAACAGTAGTATGTGTGTTCACGGAGGTGCGCAATACGATTATTTTATTATTAAACGGTACTTCTGCATCGGCAAATACACTCGAAGCAGTTGCATAAAGTCACGGGTGCATGAAAACTCACATGTTAACAAGCACTATGTCCCCCATTGTCAACCCTAGTTTAGTCCTGATGTACTGTAGCTCCTGTTTTGGCTGTTTACGAGTATTTTCAGTCTGCTCACTTAGACCGCTAATGTCCCCGTGACCACTTTGCGGCTCTTTGATTGGTCGCTGCACGAGCGTCCCGAGGAAAGGTTGAGCAAAATTCAGCCCACATGAATTTAGTCTGCAGTATCAGGGGCGCCCCCTGTGCCCATTAGTGGGACAGCTATAAGCTAGTAATACCCTATCCAGATATTATTTTTGATCCATGGGAAAGAGACGGGAGTGAGCGCAGTGTACAAAGAGATGGACGCTTGCGTCTTCTGTGTGTGATGAGGAGAAGGAGTGAGACAGGGGTGTGTGAGCGGAAGGAGGAGGAGGAGCGAGATAGAGGTGTGTGAGCACTGCTATTGCCAATGTTTAGTCTGAATGTACATATCAACAAATAATATAAACGCATTAATGAACAGTGTGTGCCCAGCTTTAGTGCTCACTAAGTGGATTTTAGGCAAGTATACAAGCCTTGCTGTGGTCAGAGTGTATGGATGCGATGACAGAAACGATATTGGATGGGAAAAAAGCACTTCAACAAAAAAAAGTCTGCCACAATGAACATGTATATGTGTAGCACCCTCTGGTTTATCGTGTGTTGTGTAGAAATAAACAAAGGAGATTAATTGGGGCCTTCTTGTGGTCTCTGAACCGCTGACGGTAGACCTCAGGGACCAGCTGATATGAACGTAAAATAGCAACTTTAACAGACTCATATCTCATGCTTTCCTCCAAAGAAAGAGCAGCAGAAACTTCCTGTGCTTTCCCAGTTAACTTACACTGGAGCAATGTGGACCAAAGCTCAAGAGGGCAATTTATAGCCTGGGCTATGCGTTCAAAAGCAGAAAAATAACTGTCAATTTCAGACTCACGAAAGTTTGGAAAAAGCAAAACATATTTACTCACATCAACGGGTTGGACCGGACTGTGGGCTGGCCCACCATCAGCAACGACCCGGCTAGGGTTAAGAGGAAGACGGCCTTCTGCCTCCAGCTCGAGCCGCCTCAGTTTTAGAGCAGTCTCGGCCTCGATCTCAAGTTTCTTGAGTCGGTATCAAAGTTCCATATTCGCTTGCTGCTCCCTCTCGCTTTCCTCCGCTTCCCCACCCAGGCGCTCCACAGGTACTCTGTGCCACGTAGAGACCTGGGGGAAACGGGATGGACTACCCGGTGAGTGGTCCCAAGAGAAGCAGGTCGGGTGATCAGGATGGCCTCTCCTCTCAGACACACCGGGCGGAGGAGATGACGTTGTCAGCCTCTCCTCTGCTTTGGGAGGGACGCGTGCAGCGTGTGGACAAACTTCAGGGCCCAATTCCAGAGAGGATGCCTCGGGACGCTTCGAAGGACCAGCAACGGCCTCCACCTCAAGCCTATAGTCGTGCATGCCGCCATGCTCCACCAGCAAGGATGCATACTTCACTCTCCCACTGATGAACTGCATCGTTGTGTCCTTTGGGCAAGACACTTAACCCCACTTTTGCCTGAAGCCCCACTGATAAGAATCTCAGCTCCTGAGGACTCAGCACCTGCCAGGAGGATCAGTGAGGGCTGGTGCTCTGTGGACTGGGTGGCAGCTCTGACTGCCAACCCCCCCCACCGACCCAGAAATGATTAAGGGAAAAAATGTGATGGATGGATGGACATTGCTAAACAAATTCCTCTTGCTCCGGCTTCACTTTCTTGATAGAACGAAAAAGTATTACTTGTACTAGCGCTCTTTGCCAAAACAACACCTCCCGTTCGTGCGCAACTCTTGACGTCACCACACATCTAACGACAACACCCGCCTCCCGTCGCTCTCTGATTGGTCGGATGGAAATCAACCGATTGTAATCGCAAACACAAGTGACCAGACCCAAGACGTTTACATGCAGGAGATCAAGATTGAGCGGCGTAGGGTAGGGGTTACAGGAGGGATAAGGCCAGGCTAACTCGGTATCGTTATGTTGGTATCTGCCCATAACTGTAACCCTTTTACATAAAGCTGCTGGTTAGTTTTATCCGTAGTAAGTAATTCCGAAGCCATTTAAAACTTGAAAAGATTTTATATCCACCCAGTGTTTGAAAATATAAGTGCTCCAAATAAACCGCTTTAATTATATGACTTGGACCGTACCCGGCTCTGATGGCTGATTTACCGGTCTGTATTGTCACTTCTCGACCGTTACCAGGACAATCGTCCACAGGGCGCGTGTATCACACAAAACCCAGTTGGACACATGAACATTCTTCACAATATCTCATAAGCTTTTGGTAAAGACACAGACGAGAAGTCATATACTATAACATTTATTAACCTCGCTTGCTCGGTCTAGCAGAGAATAATCAGACCTTCGGCCTTTTTGCCAAAAGACCTCGCCAACGGCTTCGGTCGTGTACAAAAGTCTGATATTTCTCCATACAGACCTCGGCGCTCAGTTAATAAGCCCATAATACTCGATATCATAGAAAGCTTACTCCTTCCCAGCACCAACGGCATCACAACTACTTAGAAAGTAGCCGAGAAAAACAAGCCATACAATTCCATCAACTTTTTGTGTGAAAAAAGCATTTTTTCCATTATAAATTGCTGTTCACAAAACTGGAGAAAAACACTGTATCGACCAGTAAAGCCCCAACTCTAACGTCCAACCATTTGTAACGGTGGTCGTATTTGACTTGCGACCTGTCACTGATACTCTGGATTTCTTTCTCATCTCGGCTAATAGCCGGCTATCCATCTCTGGCTTTATCCTTCATTTTTTTGGGCGGTGGAAGTAGTCACGCTGATCGCTCATCCACTGACAGCACTTTGAGGGCTTCCGACGCCCCTGAACATGTGCATATATTCGTGGATGCAGGCTCAGAGGACTCGGGGGGACTGTTGTATTTTGCCTGAATCACCCGGACTCTTGGGAGCTGTGGGGGGACGCTCTCGTGCTCACAGGCTTCCTTCTCCGCCTACCTCTTTGATGTGACTTTTGTTCCAACTCATAATGAAAGCCGCTAAATGACAATAGAAATGACGCTAATCATTGTCAGTACAAAACTCATCACGATGCGGTTTTCGAGTCCCGGCTATAAAATAGGTCTTTCTCCATTAATGTGACATGTTGGAGTGACGGTTTTTGAAAAGTGCGTCTTTATGGATTCTTTTTCGTGGGATAATAACAGTGCGGGACCTTATGAAGGGATGATAATGGGCAGACGGAGTATTGCAATGGCAGAATGGATCTACCTTCAAAAGGTCTTTTTCAAGCCTGTGGTGTGGCTGAACGGAGGATTGCTGAAAACCTCTCTCTCCCCTCTCTTGCTCCCTTTAGTAATCCCCTCGTGAAATATTCAAGCCAATCTGCATTTACAATGTAATGAACAGGCGGGGGCTTTGACTGATATTGATATTGGGCGACCGAATGCAAGCAGTTTGGAGATTTTCAGATGAACACTTGAGCAACAGGTCGGAAGTGTCCTCTCGGTGACATCCAATAACAATATATATATTCTGAAAAGAATGTTTTGTATAGCACAATTCATTCACTCAAAGGGCTCAAAACAAGATGAGACCGTCACACACAGTAAGAATCAAAGTACAAACAAAACTGTTTAAATGCAGGTTCAAAACAAAGTCAGAGAAGAGCCTGTCTCACGTTTTTCATGAAGAATGTTCCAGATTTAGCAGTCAGGAAAATCTGAAAAGCTGCTTCCCCGTGTTAATGTAGTGTATGGTGAGAACCGGGTCAATCTCTGTCCACTTTCCTCTTTTCGACTGGGGATTAAGGAGAAAGCAAAACTAGCTAGAAACAAACTTATTTTTGCTGATAAAAATTAACAGTCTAATCTTTCAAAATCTGGTTTTCTTAGATTTCCACAGAGTCAACGCGAGCACACAATATTCTGTCGTCTTAGACAAACTCATGTTTGGCAAGATGGATAAGTAATTCAGGTAAGAAAGTTTTTGGTATTAATGTTGAGGTTGCTGACTGAATCGGGGAAGCTCTCTGGGGCTCTCTGGGATTGGTGTGATTGTGGCGTTTGAGAATCCCGCAGACATTGGGTCATAATATGTCGCCCCGAGGTATCAAACATAAATCGGTTTTTGAGACAGTGGGAGGTTTGTTTGTCCAATTCAAATGACGGTAATACAGGCACATGGCCTCACAGGAGTTGCATGTGTCGATCAATACTATAACAGCAGGGGGTCTCCAACATTTTTCAATCGAGAGCTACTTCTATACAACAGAAGAGGCAGAGAAGCTACTCCCTTTTTGCAGTGATATCACAAATCTATGTAATAATTTATGACAAAACATGACAACATTTGTGAAAAACATACATAAATCGTATAAAACCCGACTTATAATAGATATGTAATACCTCAAAGTGAATCATCAAGATCATAAAAAATACAAAATCAATTTGGGGTGCTACCAGAAAGGGGCTGAGAGCTACTGTAGACCCCCTGTAGCTCAAATGAGCTATACAGCATCACAGTATCCAGTCATCGTGCTCGTCTCTGAACACATTTTAGCCTGTTACACAACATGTCTGCACGTTTCACACTCATGCCCCATAAGTTCGCTCGGCCTGTTTTTTCCCCATTACTTCATTCAATTTTGCACTTGGAGGAGGGGAGCGTAAGGAGAGAACCGAGCATGGGAACCAAAATGGCTGCAGCACAAGAGCGCCGAAACGGTTGGAAGAAGAAACGCTATATTAAAATGACACGCAGAGGAAATCAGATAATCATTCTTGTTAATGGTTGTTTAGACTCGTTGCTGGTTAACTAACCTGTCTGTGGGCGTTTGGATTATAAGCTCTCGCGTACAGCAATTTCTTTTATTAGATTTTAAATGTTTGTGTTTTTATTATGCACAGACTTTGTACACTTTGAGATTTGGTGTTAAATGAAAAGTGCATTATAATATCTTTTTTAATTATTATTATAATTGTATTACACTCAAAGTCCAAGCACGCAGAGAAGTCATGTAGATATTTTATTAAGACGAATGGTGGCTCTGTTGAATTGTTTTGTATTGAACTAGGCAGTGGGCGATTACGTTGAAGAGTAAAATCTGGTCTAAAATATGTTTTAATAAATTTTTATTTATTTTTATCACAGCAAGAAAGCTCATTGATTGAAAGTAATTATTAAATCGCTTTAAATCAACCGTCCATTATTTCTTGGATCACGAACCTCTCTCTTCTTGGACTTTAATTCTGTTTCTGTAAACAGAACTGTCAGCAACACGACGCCTCTCACTAGTGTCTCTGCGCAAGAAGCTATCAGGTAGCTAGCCCACGCTCCAAAAACATAATAACAATCAATCAACACATTGAAATTTAATCGGAAAAAAAACATAATCAATATACATTCTTAACGCACGAAGGAATTATCTGTTAACGTTTTTCATGACATTAATCCAATCCTGTTTTAAATGCGCAGAATGCAACTTGTAGAGGTCCTGATGGGTTTAGGTTAATGTTTATATTGGGTCGTCTCTAACCGCTGATGTCTCTTTGTTCAGTTTTTCATAGTTCACAGAGAGTTCTAGTACCGTTTCTAACCAGACCCGGTACTGCCGCGGGATTTTGGGTCCCTGTCGGTGATTAGTAATGACCGCATTCTATACACATTATCGCCATGACATATTATAAATAAAATACATCGATAGGCTTCAAATCTACAATGCAGATTTAAGTTTTGCTTTAATTTAAGCTGTGGCACTCCCTTTGAGATGGGGGTGAGGTAGCTCGGATAGAGTCGCGGCTTCCCCATGTGGAGAGACTCCACCACTCAACAGACCTGACAGTAGCTCAGGTGGTAGAGCATTGGCCTTTGAGCCCTGAGGTCGTGGGTTAAGCCCCACCGAGGGGACCTAACTCCAACTGCTTCCTCAAATGTCTGCTGTAGTGTCCATTGGCAATGACACTTAACCCACATTGCCTGAACCCCCGCTGAAAACCAGGGCCGTTTCCCTTCCCTCGCTGACCGGAGCATCCATCTTCCCGTGGACCCACCCACTGCAGAGGATCAGAGGGACTGGTGCTAATGAGCATTGGTGCAGCTCTGATTGGCCACCCCCGACCCAGAAATGACTAATAAAAGGGTAGAACATTGAATAAGGATGAACTACGGCTTCAATACGGCAACGTCTTTCACTGTACATCCTCTCCATGATCGTCCACGCGCGCAATAAATGGATAGAAAACCTCTTGCATGTTTCACTAGCTAAATGACTATGTCTCTCCTGTTTCCAACCCAGCTCCATCATTATCTCTCTGCACTGCACCATGTCCTTTTATGTTCATATTTGCCTCAACATAAGCCGGAGCTGAATGTCGGGTTGAAATCTGAATGTTCATGAGAGGTTGGTGGCAGCAGTCACCTTGCAGCAGAAATACTGGTTCCCTTTATCTGGATGTGAAGGTACATAAGCACGGAGGAGAGCAACTGGGAAAGAGCAATTGACCATGGTCGCTTTTGGGGGGTTAGGTTCTAACGCACCTCGTCTTGATAGATGACCTGGCGGCCGGCAGACATTGACAGCTCCTAGTTAATGTCCAAAAAGTGCAAATTATATAGGGTAGGGTACCAAACTTATTGCAAACTTTCAGCCTATCAGTAAACGTATAGTAAACCTATCCCTATTTTGATAAGTAGCGGAACAAAAAAGAATCCCTGTGAGTCCCTATTTAGCGCTTAGCTGGGGCTGGAGAGCGGGTGGTTGTTTAAAACTGATCTCTCAATGTGGACCAAAAACAACATGTGAAAACTAGAGATGATCTGAACTTTAGAGTCATGAACAAGTGAAAAGGACATTTTGTGGCTGTGCGTCATTTCCAGGTTTCGTTTTGAAAGATTGTGTACCCCAGCTTTAATTCATCAGAGTTAATCGTTGGGACTTTCAAAAGGTGTGGTGGGTCATTTTCATACCAGTTAAAAGTCATTTCATATATATATATATTAAAAACATCTTTTAGTCATTTTGGGACCATATCGGTGTTGAAGGTTCTAAAAACAAAGTCATTTACAAGACATTATTCACAAAGAAAAATAATAAACAGAATAAATTGGTGAACATTTACGAAAGCATTTAGATCAAGGCGTTTGTGAAATAAGTCGTATAAATGCATCGGTTTTAATAGCGCGTTTCTGCGATACTCAAAAGGACGCTTCACATGTTGTCATTATTCATTCACAATCAAGCCATACACTTTGGAGATAAACACTACAGTAGCACAGCTGCCCTGGGGCACACTGGACAGAAGCGAGGCAACCAGTATAGTGCCCAATCGGACCCCCTCCTACCACCACCACTACACACAGCACTCACCAGACTCATTCTAGCAATGGGGGGTTAAGTGTCTTGCCTAAGGACACAACGGCAGTTTGGCATCTTACAGCCGCAGCCGCCCCACTGAGCTGGTGTTCCCAAGGTTAAGTGTCTTGCCAAGGACACAAAACGACAGTAGTCAGTGGAGTCGAGTGGTGAAATCCTTGAGCGGGGCTTGAACCCACGACGCTTCTGGCTCAAAAGGCCAACGCTATACCAACGAGCTAACTACCGCGAGCTATTGATATGGTCGAGCTCACAGCACCTTCACAACGCACCAACACACACACACGACACACACACACAAACACACACCCAGCGACGTGCGGTGAGGTTGTGTGACTAGACAGTGTGACTGAAGTCTGTTTTATGTCTTATCTTATAAATGAATCCATTAACCAATTCTGTCCAGACCCAGTTGTTTTATTGTCTAGATAACTTAGATCTTTGGAAATGTAATCCTCCCATGTGGAGAATAAGCCATTACAGAAAAAGATATGTTTGAACAGCTGAACCTCTGTTGATTCTGGACCGTGATCCTGAAGAATCAAATCCGTCAACTTCCATCCGTCGTCATTCTTATTGTTACTTAAGCACAACATTTGTACCGAGTAACATGCCCTGAAACAATCTGAAATGTGTTGAATTTTCGAGCCCCGGAACTCTGAGGTGAAAAAGTACCTGCAAACACGTTCTCTGTAAAGGAATCGCGGTAGAACATCAAAACCGATGTCATAAAAAACAGATTTTCGAGAACTGTGAGGCTTAACTGTCACTCAAGTAGACCTCTGCTGGATCCTGCTCACTGTCGGTATTATGTAAATGTATTAATAATTAAATAAGTCTGCGGTTTTTGAGTTAAAACATGTATAGTAAAAGGCCAAGTTATAGATTAGAATGAAGCAATAAGACTAAAATCATGTAAATATGATGACTGTACACACACACACCTACACTACACACATACACACACATAAACAGAAGCCTACTTACACTGCAGCCCAACCCGTGCCTCCATACCAGGACCCCCCCCCCCACAGAGACACACAGTCCCCCAGCGGCAAGGTGACCTGGTGCTGACGGTAGATTAGTTGTAGGTGTTCCCGGTGAGTGCGTACGACGGCACAGACATTTCGGCCCTAATTTTAGTGCCGCAAAAGGGCACCAGGGTAAGTGTTGTGGGTGTGTGTGGGGGGGTCTATCTGCGGGGTAAGGCCCGGGATGGGTTTTGTTAAAGCTGAGGCTATCACTGGGCATGCCTACGGACAATTAATCAGACGGAGCCCAGGAGCAAGGTCCTGACCAGCGAGACACCTTCATCCAAAATGAACACATACACATAAGATGCACTAAAGGCTTTTCTTTTGGGCCAAACTCTTCCAAGAGCCCAACATTTGACCGCAAAATGTTCGGTCTAAAAGGCAGTGTGTTATGAGGTTGTGGAAGATGGAGTGATAATAAATCCATCGATAAATGGAAAACATTGCCCAAATAAAGACTTAAGCTACGGGTTTGTCGCCTCCTCCTGGCTTTAAAACCCTGTACAGTTCCACATACGAGATCCATCTTTCTCATACTTTAATCTATTAGATTTAAAATGTGTTTAATGTACAATCATAAAAACTCATATTCTACAAGACGGAGGACGGGAGAGTGCTGCGGGGGTCCTGAGGAAGATGGATTGAGGGCAGGATCAGTGCTCTTCACGACTGGGACAAAAACATACTGGATAATGGCTTGTTAATGGGACTTACAAGTGTCTGTGAGGTTGCAGCCAAAAGATCAGCCGGAGGGAGAAAACTCAAAAGAAACGCAGACAAACACACATTTACAATCTGTGGTCTGTGTAATTTCTTATGTTCTGTGATCCACAATTTTAACACAAATCCTTTATTTTGTCATCATAAATGATTAACACTACCCCGAAAGACATATCTAATAAAACATGTCAAAGGGAAAAAGTCTCTCAGCGGAAGAGTAAAACCTGAGTGCTAAGATTTTGGAGCTCCTCAAGACTCCACTTTCGAACTGTCACTGTCAGGTGACAGTGAAGGCTCTGAGAGTCTTCCTGGTAATGAGCTCATCCTCGTCTGGAAGTATGTTAGATACCTGGGGGGGTTGCCGACTGGCTCCAGACCAGAACTCCAATGTTCTGAGTTAAAAGATATAACATCCCTCATTTGGTTACCTGCAGCTTTTCTACAATAAACGCAGACATAGACAAGAAACAGGGGTGGAAGTTTGCTTAAAGGGGAACATTTTTATATTTATTTATAACTGCCAATGACCTTACTGGACATCTGTATGTGAGCACCTTGTTGGCAGGAATTATGGAGAAATTGCTTATTTTATTTTTTTTTTACGTGTCGTCCCTTGCTGTGATATCAGTACGTGCTGTAAACCCACACGTATTTACAGCCGTGGGTTCCGAAGCCAGGTTGTGGGTTTGATCCCACCACAAACTTTCTCCACTCCACTACCTGTCTGCTGTCAGTTGAGTCCTTGGGCAAACACTTAACCTGGAACACCCAGCGCCCAGTGGAAGCAAAAATGTCGTTGTCGGTCCTTAGGCAAGACACATTAGAATGATCTGGTGGTTGTGTGAGGGTTGGTGGTGTGGGAGGGGCCCAATGGCACAGACAGGTTGCCTCCGCTTCTGTCAGTTGTGCCTCCAGGCACTGTGGAAACAGTATGTAATTTTATCACCACGGTGTTTTTGAGTGAATGAATAAGAACATGTGAAGATCTTTGAGTGTCCTAAAAAGCGCTATATAAAAAATTAATAATTTATTATTAGTAAAGAACTTTACAAATACACAGCCTGCAGTATGTTGCGGCGACTGGAGACATTGAGGTTGAGAACATCGAGGTGACATGGCAGGAGCCTCCGGTGGCATCACTCACCGCCGTACCCGCTCGTATCTGCCGTCACCATTCTCTGGGGGCCGCCCCCGCATCCTCGCTCTCCCGGTGCTGGACGATGATGGATTGGAGTTTGACATAGCCGGGGTCACCCAACGGTGCTAGCAAGGACAACTGGGTGAGCCGTTGCCAAATATCGTAAGAAGAGCCGCAGGAAATGGGAACTAAGAGATGGCCCGAATATTTGTTAAATTCAACCCAAAAGAAAAACAGCTGGATATGTGAGACCGCCCAAACAGGCCCACAACTGTCACACTGTCCCCCCCCCCCCCCCCCCCCAACATGGTGCAAGTTTTTTTATGGTCTTAGACAGCGGCAGTGAGGGATGAACTTGGATGTGGTCCTAGCGCATGGTGTCAATGTTTCATTTTGACTTAGTATTGATATTTATGCTGGATTTTGGTTTCTTTCTCAAGTCCAGCATAAGATAAGGGAAACAGGACGGGAGCGTAGAGCATGGCCGAGTTTGCTGAGGTTAATATCAAAGATCAGAGATGGACTTTTGTTCGGCCGTGTGTGCAAGAACCAATGAATTTTTTATAGTTTTCATTAGGGATTCCCAGGTTATTTTAAAGTGTGTACAAGAGTATACAGTATTTCAGTATCTGCTGGAAAGATGTATGCTTTATTTTATAATTGTTATGATTTGTGTAATGTCTTTCTTCTCTGACCTCCCCTCGTGTCGTGATAAAGTTTAATGATACTGATAAATTATATTAAAGGGACATGGGTAAAAAATGTTTAGAAGTTTCCTAACGCAGTTTCACAAGGCTAAACTGGTGACCTATTGTAACTCACTCTATGGATATAATAATAAGTATAATAAATAATGAATCCTTGTTTTGATACAGCGCTTTATTTGACCCGTCAAAGATTCTAACAAATGTCATTTATTCATTCATTTCGATAAATGAAGCTGATACACTACTACTCTACTACTGTTAGCCACAGCGCCCCCTGGGCAAACACTGACTTCACACTGACTATTAGACTATTGCGGGGAATCTTGGAATAAACTTGAATATATTTGAGTAGTAGAAAAAGAATTCCTCGGCTCCTTCTCTCAGTTACACACATATTTTCATGTTGTGCTGTATGGCGGGATACAAATATGTTACAAAAGCTGGAATGCTGTAATTCCAAGTAAAACGTAGGCTGCAAGTCATAAGCTTTCTTTGATTTGGAAGCAGGAAACATGGAAACTGAAATGAGTGAAGGACGTGGATCGACGGCGGTGTGCAGGACCTATCTGTGTCGCACGCTGTGGAACAGTCCCCTTGAGACAAACGTGGTGTCTAATGGTTTCATTGACATATTCGTTACTTAAGAGGTACAACCAGTCTTACAAAAGGCACAATACATTGACTGCCATTGACGTATTGTCTGAGCCCCTCTAGTCACCGTATTTCAGGACAATAAAACAGTAGAACTAACTATTTTTGTGGATGAACGTAGACAATCCAGTCTTTCAAATCTGGTTTCATATTCACATAGTCCTAGGAATAATATTCTGTGGGTCTTGAAAAACAGTGAATCATCAAAAAACGGGTCTGGGCATCAAATGAGGTTAAAGATCCATATATGATGTTTTTTCATGTGTTCTAATCCCTCCTCAGTCCATTAGAAGGTGCTAAAATCAAGTTATTACATCATTTAGTCCAGTTTCCCTTAAGTCTCATTAATGAGTTAAGTTGTGTTTCATATTTTTCAATCCAAATGTTTTTTTACACAAATAGAAAAAACTAATACTTTCCATAAAAACCAGATTAAATGTAAAAACCAGACCATCTTTTTCAAGTTTAATTTCTAGATAAGAATCGACAGAAACCACCTGCCACTCCGTCACACATTTTTCAAGGGTCATTAATTATTAATCTTTAAAAATGGAGTGATTTCCTGATGTTTGTTAATGTTAAACTTGGTTTGTGCGGTTTCAGCTGCGCTTTATTCAACTCAAACATTTTCTGTCCCTGAGTCACTAGAATGATCCAATCAGAGGCTTAAAATGTCGCCAAAACTGTATTTTGGCAATCTTTCCCTTTGGATTCTAACCACACTATCTCTTTGATGCTGTCTATGTTTCCAATCTTGTCCATCCAACTATGAAACTCATTTTGAGTTATAACCTTTTAACGTCCATTTATTTAATTCTCACTTTTACTGTAACGCACTCATATATAAAGTAAAGGTCAGTTTTTTTTAGACTGTATTTCTGAGTGTAGGGAGTGGTTGAATATGGACCATGAGGAGACGGCACTGGCAAACACCCATTTGAAGAGTGGCCAAGTCGAAGGGAACAAGGCGTGCAGTGTGTCCAGCCTGAGTGCTTTTAGGTGGCGGGAGGAGGCTAATCTTGGAGGTCCCAGCTTTTACCGTGAGTCCGCCTGGAGATGAGGTCGAATCCCCGTCGTGCTCTAGGTTTTACTGTTATGTTCAAGAGAGTACAGGAAACTGTCAAGCAAATATCCAAATCTGTCAGGTCTAAAGCAGGACTAAAGGGTCTTACTAAAGCAGGTCTCTAAAGCAGGTCGATAAAGCAGGTCTAAAGCGAGGACTAAAGCAGGTCTAACGCAGGTCTAAAGCAGGTCTCAAGCAGGACTAAAGCAGGAGGTAACGCCGGACCCTGCTGATGTGAGGGAGTTTCCCGTACGGAGCTGTGTCACTTACGGCTTGTGACGCGGCGGGAGGAAGGCCCATATTTGGTCACGGAGGAGCGGATAAAGCGGGTGCCAGAGTGGTGAGGTTTACGCCACTTTGGGCCTGGTTCCTCGCCAGCATCAAAACACTGGAAGAGCAGACAAACCTCCGCAAACCTTTATTGAAAACCACAGTGGTCTCTGATCTTATCAACTAATCAAATAATTTAACTGTATCTTCAATGTTGGTTCCATCGACTCGTACCAATTCAAGACGCAGTCAAACTAATGTGACATCACTTTTACCTTCTGGGTAGGGCTGGGCGGTATAAACGGTATAAGCGGTAGACGGTATAAATTTGGCCCACGGTAGAGATTTTTGTTATACCGGCATATTGCGATAGGTCATTATGGCATTAAATTGCGCAGGCTCTGACGCCAGCAGAAAGGACCAAAACAAACCGGCATTTAGCAGCATTAGCCTAGCATTAGCCTAGCAGACACCACTGGAAACAACGAACAACAGCACGGCATTAACACCGTGTTTCTGTCTATGTATTGTTGTCACAGCGGCCCCAGCAGAGGTAAATACACACACAGTAATCACAGTTTAAGAGTCTACCTTTTGGCCAATCAGTGTCAAAGGGGCGTAGGCTCGAAGCGCCAGCGTGAGCCAAAATCCATGCGTGTGCCGTGTCCGCAGCATCACAGCAGAAGTTTGGGAAAGTTAGCGTCAGATTCGGACCTCCGCGGTCAATATCTCACGAAAGCTACTTTGTTAAACAAAATTATTTGTGCCAAAATGACCATTTACATCAATTGTTCAAATCCAATGCCCCTGTTTTAATGAACATAAAATCCATTGAATCCAAGGTCACAGCAGCGCAGAGAAAAAGCGCTTAGGGAGCGTCAACAAATGGCAAGACCAGCTTTGTAAACGAACAATAGCTTTTACTGAAGTCATGTACCTGCACAAAACTCTCAGACACTATAAATAATGACCATGTCTAACTCCTACAGACTTTGATTTCAACATTTGTGAGTTTTTTATATTTTAAATGAATGCATATGTTTTTCTTTTTAAAAATTGCTTTTACAGTGAATGGTATTTACTGTAACATACATAAATAATGGTATGTTATTTGTCTCTTTATTCGTCTCACAACTGATTTTCTAACTCAATATATATATATATATTAGATTCTAATATATAAATAATTAACAATCTTGACTATTTTATGCAAGAACCTGCTAGACCTATATTGAAATTCACACACCAAATTATACCGCGATATATACCGTCTACCGTCTATGACCCAAATTATACCGCGATATGAATTTTAGGCCATATCGCCCACCCCTACTTCTGGGGCTTTTTCAAAATGGCCATGGTGCTGGAAAAAGTACAAAAAAGACAAGTCCAAAAACATATACTCTCCTCTGACAGTATCTGGAACCAGGAGGACCAAGTACCACTTTTGGACCGTCCTGTAAAGACGTTTCCCAGAGGAAAGACGACAACCATAGCTTGTATATATATAGTCAGGCCTATCTCCGCCGTTCTAACTGATGGGCCAAAAAATGTGCTCTACTGGAGCAATCCAAAATGGCCGCGAGTGGTCCCGCCCACAAGAAAATTGTGAAAAAACGCATCTGCGCATGCGTCAGCCGCCGCAGCTCCATTCATTTGAATGAGAGACTTCTAAAGTCCACAGCGACTAAACTACTGGTCCAAAAAAATCCACCCCCCTCAGCATTGACACACATGTGGAACGGAGCTTTGGGCCAAGAGACAACTTTTGGACCATCCTGTAAATACGTTTTTGAGAGGCCTGCCTATGCTATATATTAGCATTGGCTAATTCTACTTCTGGGTCCACCCCCACAGGCCCGGGGTGGTATTGCAGCATGTCAGCGCACGTCATTATGGCCACTTTTGAGCTGGGACCCGCCCACACTGATGACACCATACAAAAGCATTGGATAATTCTTTTTCTGGGTACACCCCCACCGGGGGAGTGAGATTGCACGTGCTCAAGGACCTTTTGGAGCTGGGACCCGCCCACACTGGTGTGTGCATTTCCCCAGTGCGTGTTTCCTGCATGGATCAGTCGGATCTGGCGCCCCTCAGTCGGAGCGTAACGTGATACTGTTACATTACATTTCCACAGACACGAAGTGGCGCAAACTGCAGACTGTGCATCTGCGCAAAAACATCCAGGATTACTGCATCCACCACCGCGTCTGCGCTCTGGCTGTGGCCGAGGACAGAGCACCAGGCCCGGGTAAGTGCTCTCCACACACCGAGCCTCCAGAGACTCCGGGCACGAGCATCCACAGACCCCGGGGACGAGCCTCCACAGACCCCGGGCACGAGCATCCACAGACCCCGGGCACGAGCATCCACAGTCCCCGGTACTCGGTGACTTGGATCAGCTTCTTGTATAACGAGGGTCTCTATAGTTCCATTTCCAAAACTGCACGTAATTGCGTCCAAAGGCTACATGTTGTAATAACAGAGGTCTGTGTCGTAATAACAGATGAGTGTGGTTATAACGTGTTCGTTGATCAGACTGACACATTCTTACGCAGACGCGGCGTGGATTGCATAATCTGTTGTTTTGATGCAGCACAATCGTCCATATTGAAATCTGCGTACGGGAGATTTAAAGGAAAACACAGCATCAAGGCAGAGCACGCTGCCCTCTCTGGTCTCTCTCTGGTCTCTCTCTGGTCTCTCCCTGGTCTCTCTCTGGTCTCTCTCTGGTCTCTCTCTGGTCTCCCTCTCTGGTCTCTCTCTGGTCTCCCTCTCTGGTCTCTCTCTGGTCTCCCTCTCTGGTCTCTCTCTGGTCTCTATCTGGTCTCTCTCTCTAGTCTCTCTCTCTGGTCTCTCTCTGTCTCTCTCTGGTCTCTCTCTGGTCTCTCTCTCTGGTCTCTCTCTGGTCTCTCTCTGGTCTCTCTCTGGTCTCTCTCTGGACTCTCTCTGGTCTCTCTCTGGTCTCTCTCTCTGGTCTCTCTCTCTGGTCTCTCTCTGGTCTCTCTCTCTGTCTCTCTCTGGTCTCTCTCTGGTCTCTCTCTGGTCTCTCTCTGGTCTCTCTCTCTGGACTCTCTCTGGTCTCTCTCTCTGGTCTCTCTCTCTGGTCTCTCTCTGGTCTCTCTCTGGTCTCTCTCTCTGGTTTCTCTCTGGTCTCTCTCTGGTCTCTCTCTGGACTCTCTCTGGTCTCTCTCTCTGGTCTCTCTCTCTGGTCTCTCTCTCTCTTGGTCTCTCTCTGGTCTCTCTCTGGTCTCTCTCTCTGGACTCTCTCTCTGGCCTCTCTCTGGTCTCGCTCTGGTCTCTCTCTCTGGTCTCTCTCTGGTCTTTCTCTGGACTCTCTCTCTGGTCTTTCTCTGGTCTCGCTCTGGTCTTTCTCTGGTCTCTCTCTCTGGTCTCTCTCTGGTCTCTCTCTGGTCTCTCTCTCTGGTCTCTCTCTGGTCTCTCTCTGGTCTCTCTCTCTGGTCTCTCGCTCTGGTCTCTCTCTGGTCTCTCTCTGGTCTCTCTCTGGTCTCTCTCTCTGGTTTCTCTCTGGTCTCTCTCTCTGGTCTCTCTCTCTGGTCTCTCTCTCTGATCTTTCTCTCTGGTCTCTCTCTGGTCTCTCTCTGGTCTCTCTCTGGTCTCTCTCTGGACTCTCTCTGGACTCTCTCTCTGGACTCTCTCTCTGGTCTCTCTCTCTGATCTCTGCACCACAGATTAGTCCTGACACACTTTGCAAAGTGTGTCAGGACTAAAGTAGTGCCACCAAAAAGGTAGAGAGGGCGCCACACATGGTTTCAGAATCATTTTTATTGCCACGTAAGTAACAGAAGTCACAGACTTGGAAATTGCTTTGGCTCAGTGCAACAGTCAGAAAGAGATAATAAAAATATAGAATAAAAAACACTTCTAAGGAATAAATGTAAATTTAAAATAGAGTTACAGTTACTATTTACAATATACAAGTGCACATGGTGCACACAATGTAAGGTGACAGCAGTACAGTGAAGTAAAGTGACGTATGATGGGCAGTAAAGTGACTTTATAAAGGGCGGGGGGACAGGTTAAGAAGTGTTCAAGAGTCCAACAGCAGAGGGGAAGAAACTGTTCTTGTGGCAGGAGGTTCTAGTCCTGATGGACCGCAGTCTCCTGCCTGAGGGGAGTGGTTGGAATAGTCCATGTGCAGGTGAGAGGGGTCGGCTGTGATACGACCAGCCCGGCCTCGAGCTCGGGCGACGTACAGGTCCTGCAGCGATGGAAGGCTGCGGCCGATCACTTCCTCTGCAGAGCTCACAATGCGCTGTAGTCTCTGTTTGTCCCTGACTGTGGCTCCAGCGAACCACACGGTGATGGAGGAGGTGATAGAGGAGGTGATAGAGGAGGTGATGGAGGAGGTGATGGAGGAGGTGATGGAGGAGGTGATGGAGGAGGTGCTGGAGGAGGTGATGGAGGAGGTGATGGAGGAGGTGAGGATGGACTCGATGATGGCCGTGTAGAACTGCAGCTTGGCTTTCCTGAGCTGCCGCAGGAAGTACATCCTCTGCTGGGCCTTCTTGATGAGGGAGCAGATGGTCGGCTCCCACTTGAGGTCCTGGGTGATGGTGGTGCCCAGGAAACGGAAGGACTCCACAGAGGTGATGGGGGAGTCCATCACGGAGGGTGGGGGCGGGGGGACAGTGCTCTTCCTGAAGTCCACAATCATCTCCACTGTCTTCTGGGCGTTCAGCTCCAGGTTGTTACCACTGCACCAGGACACCAGCCGGTCCACCTCCCTCCTGTAGGCGGACTCATCGTTGTTGGAGATGAGTCCAATGAGGGTGGTGTCGTCCGTGAACTTGATCAGCTTCACGGAGTCGTGGCTGGAGGTGCAGTGGTTGGTGTACAGGGAGAAGAGCAGGGGAGAAAGAACACAGCCCTGTGGGGCTCCTGTATTTATAATCCGAGAGTCCGAGACATTCTTCCCCAGACGCACTTGCTGCTTCCTGTCCGTCAGGAAGTCAGTGATCCACCTGCAGGTGGAATCGGGCACGTTGAGCTGGGAGAGCTTGTCCTGGAGCAGGGATGGCAGGATTGTGTTGAAGGCAGAGCTGAAGTCCACGAACAGGACCCTGGCGTAGGTCCCCGGGGAGTCCAGGTGCTGTAGGATGTGGTGGAGGGCCAGGTTAATGGCGTCGTCTACAGATCTGTTGGCTCTGTAGGCGAACTGCAGGGGGTCCAGGAGGGGGGAGGTGAGGGACTTGAGATGGGAGAGGACCAGGCGATCAAATGACTTCATGACGACAGACGTAAGTGCTACAGGTCTGTAGTCATTGAGTCCTGTGATGAAGCAGGACTGCAGAGAGGTGTTGAAAATGTCAGTGAACACAGGAGTAAGCTCACTGGTGCAGTATCTCAGAGTGGCCGGAGACACGTGGTCCGGGCCAGGAGCTTTGCGGGGGTGCAGCCTCAAGAAGAGTTGTTTAATGTCTTTAGAGGCTATTGTCAGGCTGGGGGCAGGGCTGATGGGTGGGTCGTTAGAGTAGTGGGGGGTGGGGGAGGTGTCAGGGGCAGCTTCAAAGCGACTGAAAAATAATTTCAGTTCGTCAGCTAGCTTGTGGTCGTCAGCACAGGGGGGGGCTTTGGGTTTGTAGTTGGTGATCTCCCGTAGGCCCCTCCAGACAGAAGCAGTATCGTTGTTACCAAACTGCTCCTGTAGTCGTTCTCTGTGCCGGGACTTGGCTGCTTTCAGTTCTTTCCTGAACTGATATTTAGCTGCTTTGTAGCCGCTGCGGTCCCCTTCCCTGAAAGCAGACTCCTTCGCTTTCCTGAGCTGCCGGAGTTTAGCAGTGAACCAGGGTTTGTCATTGTTATAGATGACCCTGGTCCTTGTTGGAATGATGCTATCCTCACAGAAGTGAATGTATGACGTCACAGTGTCCGTGTATTCATCCAAACTATCTGTGGCAGCTCTGAAAAGGTCCCAGTTTGTAGATTCCATGCATGCGCGCAGCTCTTCCACAGCTTCATCAGACCACACTTTGGAGCTCCTCAATGCAGGTTTCGAGAGCTTTAGTCTCTGTCTGTAAGCAGGAACCAGATGAATCATGGAGTGATCTGAGAAGCCGAGGGCTGGCTTGGGAACAGCGCGAAAAGCTCCGCGCACGGTGGTGTAACAGTGATCCAGAGTGTTGTTCTCTCTGGTCGGGCATTTGATAAACTGTCTGTATTTGGGTAATTCCTGGCTCAAGTTTCCCTTATTAAAATCCCCCAGGATAATAATCAGAGAGTCCGGGTATAAACGTTCCATACACAGTACTTGCTCTGCGAGTGCGCGCTGAGCCTCGCGCGCGTCCGCGCATGGCGGTATGTAAACAGAGGCAAGAATGAATGAAACAATTTCACGAGGGGAGTAAAATGGTTTACAATGAATGAAAAGATATTCCAGAGCAGGAGAGTAGTGCTTGGAGATCACTGTCACATCGTTACACCAGTTTGTATTGACGTAGAAACACAGCCCACCGCCTCTGCTCTTCCCTGAGAGCGCACAATGGCGATCCACACGGAACAGCCCAACGCCCTGCAGCTCCAGAGCGCAGTCCGGGATCCGCTCATTTAGCCAGGTCTCAGTGAAGCAGAGGACACAGGATGAAGTCCTTGTTTCTTCTCATGAGCAGGCCGAGTTTGTCCATCTTATTGCCCCGCTCAAAAGTGAGATTTTATCTAATTTGCACTAAAATTTCAAAAAAATTACTAGACCATGTAGAGAGCACTATAAGAAACATATTTATTGTATAGAGCTCATGAGTTCAAAAAGTTGATTTAGTGTTTAGTCGTCCTTTAATGAATGTGTGGCTGCGTCCATGCGCCGCAAATGTGTGTGGCTGCGTCCATGCGCCGCAAATGTGTGGCTGCGTCCATGCGCTGCAGATGTGTGTGGCTGCGTCCATGCGCCGCAAATGTGTGTGGCTGCGTCCATGCTCTGCAGATGTGTGTGGCTGGGTCCATGCTCTGCAGATGTGTGTGGCTGGGTCCATGCGCCGCAAATGTGTGTGGCTGCGTCCATGCGCCGCAAATGTGTGTGGCTGCGTCCATGCGCCGCAAATGTGAGTGGCTGCGTCCATGCGCCACAAATGTGAGTGGCTGCGTCCATGCGCCACAAATGTGTGTTGCCGTGTCCATGCGCCGCAAATGTGTGTGGCTGCGTCCATGCGCTGCAGATGTGTGTGGCTGGGTCCATGCGCCGCAAATGTGTGTCGCTGCGTCCATGCGCCGCAAATGTGTGTGGCTGCGTCCATGCGCCGCAAATGTGTGTGGCTGGGTCCATGTGCCGCAAATGTGTGTGGCTGCGTCCATGCGCCGCAAATGTGTGTGGCTGCGTCCATGCGCCCAAATGTGTGTGGCTGCGTCCATGCGCTGCAAATGTGTGTGGCTGCGTCCATGCGCCGCAAATGCGTGTGGCTGCGTCCATGCGCCGCAGATGCGTGTGGCTGCGTCCATGCGCCGCAGATGTGTGTGGCTGGGTCCATGCGCCACAAATGTGTGTGGCTGCGTCCATGCGCCGCAAATGTGTGTGGCTGCGTCCATGCGCCGCAAATGTGAGTGGCTGCGTCCATGCGCCACAAATGTGAGTGGCTGCGTCCATGCGCCGCAAATGTGTGTGGCTGCGTCCATGCGCCGCAAATGTGTGTGGCTGCGTCCATGCGCCGTAAATGTGTGTCGCTGCGTCCATGCGCCGCAAATGTGTGTGGCTGCGTCCATGCGCCGCAAATGTGTGTGGCTGGGTCCATGCGCCGCAAATGTGTGTGGCTGCGTCCATGCGCCGCAAAAGTGTGGCGCTGCAAATGTGTGTGGCTGCGTCCATGCGCCGCAAATGTGTGTCGCTGCGTCCATGCGCCGCAAATGCGTCGCTGCGTCCATGCGGCGCAAATGTGTGTGGCTGGGTCCATGCGCCGGTGCGTACGCTCCCTGAGGTATCGCTCCTGCGCTGCTCTCAGTGTTGGTTTCACTGTACTTTTGAATCTTGTGTCTTGTTGTGTTTTTTGTCTTGTGTGTAGTTGTGTAGCTTTTCTTGTGTGTAGTTGTGTGGTGCTCACTGGGTTTGTTTCTGTCTGATGTTGTGTTCTCGCCGCAGTGACCCCGATGCCTCCAGAACGCCTCCGCAGACCGCAGCTGCATGTCGGCGCTCTGCTGCAGCACGCGGCGGCGTCCTGCGCGACATGAGCGCCCCCCTGTCGCAGAGACACGCTAAACGCACCGGGAAACGCATCACCTTCTTCAGAGAGGCCGCCATGAAGGAGGCGGGACCCAGCGAGCACGTCATAAAGGAGGCGGGACCCAGCGAGCACGTCATGAAGGAGGCGGTGCCCAGCGAGCACGTCATGAAGCAGGCGGTGCCCAGCGAGCACGCCATGAAGGAGGCGGAGCCCAGAGAAGCCACCAGCACGGTCACACACACAGACGCACAAACAGACCCACACACAGACGCACACACGTACCTGAGCTCCGTGATCTTCAGTCCGGACCGAGGGGAGCAGAGGCGCGGGCACCACCAGCAGACCGTGACCTGGGCGCCGCAGAGGCAAGCGGCCTGGGACAGCTGGGACTACAGCGGCTACGCCTTCTCCAAGTCTGCGCAGTCGCACCAGGGCACGCTGTCTGCGCAGTCGCACCAGGCCTCAGCGTCTGCGCAGTTGTACCAGGCCTCAGCGTCTGCGCAGTTGTACCAGGGCACTCCGTCTGCGCAGTCACACCAGGGAACTCCGTCTGTGCAGTCACACCAGGGCACGCCGTCTGTGCAGTCACACCAGGGCACGCCGTCTGTGCAGTCACACCAGGGCACGCCGTCTGTGCAGTCACACCAGGGCACGCCGTCTGTGCAGTCACACCAGGGCACGCCGTCTGTGCAGTCACACCAGGGCACGCCGTCTGTGCAGTCACACCAGGGCACGCCGTCTGCGCATTCGTATCAGAACACGCCGTCTGCGCAGTCATACCAGAGCACGCCGTCTGCGCAGTCGTACCAAGGCACGCCGTCTGCGCAGTCGTACCAAGGCACGCCGTCTGCGCAGTCACACCAGGGCACAACGTCTGCGCAGTCGTACCAGGGCGCCCTAAAACCGCTGAATGCGCAGCAGACCGTGGGCGCCGTGCTGCAGCCGTTCCAGCTGGCGTTTGGGCAAAACAAGACACAACAGCTGCCTTCGTACGACCAGGCCTTCAGAGGAAGCTCCAGGACAGAGCCCGCGCCGCAGCCCCCTGCGCCGCAGCCCCATGCGCCTCAGCCCCATGCGCCTCAGCCCCATGCGCCTCAGCCCCATGCGCCGCAGCCCCATGCGCCGCAGCCCCATGCGCCGCAGCCCCATGCGTCGCAGCCCCATGCGCCGCAGCCCCATGCTTCACAGCCCCATGCGTCACAGCCCCATGCGTCACGGCCCCATGCGTCGCAGCCCCATGCTTCACAGAACCATGCGTGGCAGCCCCATGCTTCACAGCCCCATGCGTCGCAGCCCCATGCTTCACAGAACCATGCGTGGCAGCCCCATGCTTCACAGCCCCATGCGTCGCAGCCCCATGCTTCACAGCCCCATGCGTCGCAGCCCCATGCGTCGCAGCCCCCTGCGCTGCAGGCCCCGCAGAGCAGAGCGGAGCCGCTGCTCACGCAGCATTTGTGGCATGAACAAAGGCCGCTGCAGCCTCAGCGCTTCATTGAACAAAGCAGGTTTCTGCGTGAGCCGCAGGCCCCAGAACCTCTGATCCAGGACATCACTCCAGAGCCCCTGGAGCTCAGCATAGACCCGCTGCTCCACGTCACACAGAGCGAGGCACAGGGTCTAAGGAAGCCACAGAGGTGAGTGTCACAAACTTTATTCTAAATAACACATGTTTAAAGCTCAGGTCTGTAACTTTAGTCTGAATAACACATGTTTAAAGCTCAGGTCTGTAACTTTAGTCTGAATAACACATGTTTAAAGCTCAGGTCTGTAACTTTAGTCTGAATAACACATGTTTAAAGCTCAGGTCTGTAACTTTAGTCTGAATAACACATGTTTAAAGCTCAGGTCTGTAACTTTAGTCTAAATAACACATGTTTAAAGCTCAGGTCTGTAACTTTAGTCTGAATAACACATGTTTAAAGCTCAGGTCTGTAACTTTAGTCTGAATAACACATGTTTAAAGCTCAGGTCTGTAACTTTAGTCTAAATAACACATGTTTAAAGCTCAGGTCTGTAACTTTAGTCTAAATAACACATGTTTAAAGCTCAGGTCTGTAACTTTAGTCTGAATAACACATGTTTAAAGCTCAGGTCTGTAACTTTAGTCTAAATAACACATGTTTAAAGCTCAGGTCTGTAACTTTAGTCTGAATAACACATGTTTAAAGCTCAGGTCTGTAACTTTAGTCTGAATAACACATGTTTAAAGCTCAGGTCTGTAACTTTAGTCTGAATAACACATGTTTAAAGCTCAGGTCTGTAACTTTAGTCTGAATAACACTGTGGTGATGTCACTAATCGGTGGTTTCTCCCAAACACAGCCTGGAGAACCGCTTCATGGTGTCATCTGTGTTCACGGAGCCACAGAACAAAACACAAACAGGAGGAGCAGCAGGAGGAGGGGCAGGAGGAGGAGCAGGAGGAGGAGCAGGAGGAGGAGCAGGAGGAGGGGCAGGAGGAGGAGGACACATAGGAGGAGCAGCAAGAGGAGGAACATTAGGACACACAGGAGGAGGAGGACGACACGCAGGAGGAGGAGGACACATAGGAGGAGCAGCAAGAGGAGGAACATTAGGACACACAGGAGGAGGAGGACGACACGCAGGAGGAGGAGGACACACAGGACGAGGAGCAGGAGCAGGAGGAGGAGGACACACAGGACGAGGAGGAGGAGCAGCAGGAGGAGGACACACAGGACAAGGAGGACACACAGGAGGAGGAGGACACACAGGAGGAGGAGGACACACAGGACGAGGAGGAGGAGCAGGAGGAGGAGGACACGCAGGAGCGAGAGGAGGACACGCAGGAGCAGGAGAAGGACAGACAAGAGGAGGAGGAGGACACGCGGGAGCAGGAGGAGGACACACAGGACGAGGAGCAGGAGCAGCAGGAGGAGGACACACAGGACAAGGAGGACACACAGGACGAGGAGCAGGAGCAGCAGGAGGAGGACACACAGGACGAGGAGGAGGAGCAGGAGGAGGACACACAGGAGCGAGAGGAGGAGCAGCCACAGGTGTGATCCAGAGCACGCGCAGGACGCGGCGTGTGTCGCAGGAGGTGAATCTGGAGACTTTGGCTCAGAAGGCGTCAGAGATGGAGTCTCTGCCCCACAACATGGTACCAGCAACTAACTCCTCCTGGTCTCTCTCTGGTCTCTCTCTGGTCTCTCTCTGGTCTCTCTCTGGTCTCTCTCTGGTCTCTCTCTCTGGTCTCTCTCTGGTCTCTCTCTGGTCTCGCTCTGGTCTCGCTCTGGTCTCTCTCTGGTCTCTCTCTGGTCTCTCTCTGGTCTCTCACTCTGGTCTCTCGCTCTGGTCTCTCTCTGGTCTCTCTCTGGTCTCTCTCTGGTCTCTCTCTGGTCTCTCACTGGTCTCTCTCTGGTCTCTCTCTCTGGTCTCTCTCTGGTCTCTCTCTGGTCTCTCTCTCTGGTCTCTCTCTGGTCTCTCTCTGGTCTCGCTCTGGTCTCGCTCTGGTCTCTCTCTGGTCTCCCTCTGGTCTCTCTCTGGTCTCTCTCTCTGGTCTCTCTGGTCTCTCTCTGGTCTCTCTCTGGTCTCGCTCTGGTCTCTCTCTGGTCTCCCTCTGGTCTCTCTCTGGTCTCTCACCTCTGTCCTTTTGCAGGACCAGCACAGACCCTGGACTCCTGAGGATGAGCAGACCAGAGATGACCTGGTTCCTCTGGTTATCCCTGTGTCAGTCCCAGTCCACAGACCCTCGGCTTCGGAGTCTAGAGAGGATCCGGATCTGGTCCCAAGTCTGGTCTCGGATCTGGTCCCAGGCCTGGTCCCGGGTCTGGGCTGTGGCTGGACCCCGCAAGACCTAAACCGGCCAGACCATAAACCATCTGTGATCGTCACCAGGAGAAGGTCCCTGAGGACCTCTGTGTCTGACAGTGCAGAGGTAGACACCATAACACTCTGGTCTCGCTCTGATCCCCCTCTGGTCTCTCTCTGGTCTCTCTCTGATCCCCCTCTGGTCCCCCTCTGGTCTCGCTCTGGTCCCCCTCTGGTCCCCCTCTGGTCTCTCTCTCGGGTCTCACACAGACACAGACACACACACACACACACACAGGCACACACACACACACACACACACACACACACACACACACACACAGAGGGGACCCAGACCCCACCAGGTCCAAGAGCCGGACCCCCGCAGCCACAGCAGACCCCAGCTCTCAGTGCAGAGGGCTCCTCCAGAGGAAACACTGGGGACACTAAAACAGTACAATAGAAAGTTAAACATTAAAATGTGAGACTAAAAAGAAAATGGTAGCTGCCTAATATTGATAATAAAAATAGTAAATGACAAAATAGATCAAATAAAATAAATACATTAATAAATTAACTAAAATGCACTAACAATAAATAATAAATACTAAATAGTGTCTTGAGCCTACTCTTAAAAATATGAACGTTCTCTGCGGCCCTGAGCTCCTCCTCAGACTGTTCCAGAGACGGGGGCCGTAGTGCTGGAAAGATGCCTCGCCGTGAGTGTGTGTCCTGACTTTGGGGATGGTTAGGAGTCTGCTGCCGGAGGAGCGCAGGGGCCGGGAAGGCTCATAGGATAAAAGCAAATCTGAAAGATAAGAAGGCCCAAGACCATTAAGACATTTAAAAATCATTAAAAGAACCTTAAAATCGATCCTGAAACACACGGGGAGCCAATGCAGCGATTTTAAAACCGGTGTAATGTGGTCCCGCCCCCTGGTCTTAGTCAGGACACTCCCCCTGGTCTTAGTCAGGCCCCGCCCCCTGGTCTTGGTCAGGACACGCCCCCTGGTCTTAGTCAGGACACGCCCCCTGGTCTTAGGCAGGACACTCCCCCTGGTCTTGGTCAGGACACGCCCCCTGGTCTTAGTCAGGCCCCGCCCCCTGGTCTTAGTCAGGACACGCCCCCTGGTCTTAGTCAGGACACGCCCCCCGGTCTTAGTCAGGACACTCCCCCTGGTCTTAGTCAGGCCCCGCCCCCTGGTCTTGGTCAGGACACGCCCCCTGGTCTTAGTCAGGCCCCGCCCCCTGGTCTTAGTCAGGACACGCCCCCTGGTCTTAGTCAGGACACGCCCCCTGGTCTTAGTCAGGACACGCCCCCTGGTCTTAGTCAGGACACTCCCCCTGGTCTTGGTCAGGACACGCCCCCTGGTCTTAGTCAGGCCCCGCCCCCTGGTCTTAGTCAGGACACGCCCCCTGGTCTTAGTCAGGACACGCCCCCTGGTCTTAGTCAGGACACGCCCCCTGGTCTTAGTCAGGACACGCCCCCTGGTCTTAGTCAGGACACGCCCCCTGGTCTTAGTCAGGCCCCGCCCCCTGGTCTTAGTCAGGCCCCGCCCCCTGGTCTTAGTCAGGACACGCCCCCTGGTCTTAGTCAGGACACGTGCGGCCGAGTTTTGGAGTAATTGTAAACCTGAAATGTTCTTTTTGGGAAGCCCAGAGAGCAGGGCATTACAGTAGTCAATGCGACTGGTGATAAAAGCATCAGCGTCTCCGTGTTGCCCCGAGAGAGAATGGGGCGGACTCTGGCGATGTTCTTTAAATGATAAAAAACAATTTTTGTGATGTTCTTGATGTGAGGAATAAAAGTCAGCTCAGAGTCAAAGATTACGCCCGGGTTTCTCACTTGTGATGATGGATTAAAAGAGTGTGATTGGAGTTTTGATAAAAGTTTCTCTCTCTGGGCCTCAGGACCGATGACTAAAACCTCAGTTTTGTCCTGGTTGAGCTGGAGAAAGTTTTCTGCCATCCAGGATTTCAGGTCTAAAATGCAGTTAAAAAGAGCATCCATTGGCCTGGTGTCATCAGGAGACATGGAGATGTACAGCTGTGTATCATCAGGAGATGTACAGCTGTGTGTCATCAGAGACATGGAGATGTACAGCTGTGTATCATCAGGAGACATGGAGATGTACAGCTGTGTATCATCAGGAGATGTACAGCTGTGTGTCATCAGAGACATGGAGATGTACAGCTGTGTATCATCAGGAGATGTACAGCTGTGTATCATCAGGAGACATGGAGATGTACAGCTGTGTATCATCAGGAGACGTACAGCTGTGTATCATCAGGAGATGTACAGCTGTGTATCATCAGGAGATGTACAGCTGTGTATCATCAGGAGATGTACAGCTGTGTATCATCAGAGACATGGAGATGTACAGCTGTGTCTCATCAGGAGATGTACAGCTGTGTATCATCAGGAGATGTACAGCTGTGTATCATCAGGAGATGTACAGCTGTGTATCATCAGAGACATGGAGATGTACAGCTGTGTATCATCAGAGACATGTAGATGTACAGCTGTGTATCATCTGCATAACTGTGGAAGTTAATTCCATGTCTCCTGATGACACCGCCAAGAGGGAGCATGTACAGGTTAAGAAGGACTGGACCTAAAATGGAACCCTGGGGCACACCACATGTGATTTTATGGACCTGAGAGGAGCAGGTATCCAAACTTACCATGAAGGATCTGTCTGTTAAATAAGAAGTGAACCACAAAGTCACAGCTCTAAAGTCACAGCTCTAAAGTCACAGCTCTAAAGTCACAGCTCTAAAGTCTCAGCTCTAAAGTCCTCCGCTAACATGTGTCTTACATGTGTCTGACATGTGTCTAATATGTGCCTGACTTGTGTCTAACATGTGTCTGACATGTGTCTAACATGTGTCTTACATGTGTCTGACATGTGTCTGACATGTGTCTGACATGTGTCTAACATGTGTCTTACATGTGTCTAACATGTGTCTAACATGTGTCTGACTTGTGTCTAACATGTGTCTGACATGTGTCTGACATGTGTCTAACATGTGTCTAACATGTGTCTGACATGTGTCTTACATGTGTCTGACATGTGTCTGACATGTGTCTAACATGTGTCTAACATGTGTCTGACATGTGTCTTACATGTGTCTAACATGTGTCGGACATGTGTCTTACATGTTTCTGACATGTGTCTGACATGTGTCTAACATGTGTCTAACATGTGTCTTACATGTGTCTGACATGTCTTACATGTGTCTAACATGTGTCTGACATGTGTCTGACATGTGTCTTCCACGTGTCTAACATGTGTCTGACATGTGTCTTCCACGTGTCTAACATGTGTCTGACATGTGTCTTACATGTGTCTGACATGTGTCTGACATGTGTCTTACATGTGTCTGACATGTCTAACATGTGTCTAACATGTGTCTGACATGTGTCTAACATGTGTCTTACATGTGTCTAACATGTGTCTGACATGTGTCTTACATGTGTCTGACATGTCTTACATGTGTCTAACATGTGTCTAACATGTGTCTGACATGTGTCTGACATGTGTCTTCCACGTGTCTAACATGTGTCTAATATGTGTCTGACATGTGTCTGACATGTGTCTTCCACGTGTCTAACATGTGTCTAATATGTGTCTGACATGTGTCTTCCACGTGTCTAACATGTGTCTGACATGTGTCTTCCACGTGTCTAACATGTGTCTGACATGTGTCTTACATGTGTCTGACATGTGTCTTACATGTGTCTGACATGTCTAACATGTGTCTAACATGTGTCTGACATGTGTCTAACATGTGTCTGACATGCGTCTAACATGTGTCCAACATGTGTCTTACATGTGTCTAACACATGTCTGACATGTGTATGACATGTGTCTGACATGTGTCTAACATGTGTCTGACATGTGTCTTACATGTGTCTTACATGTGTCTGACATGTGTCTAACATGTGTCTGACATGTGTCTAACATGTGTCTGACATGTGTCTAACACGTGTCTGACATGTGTCTTACATGTGTCTAACATGTGTCTAACATGTGTCTAACACGTGTCTGACATGTGTCTTACATGTGTCTAACATGTGTCTAACACGTGTCTGACATGTGTCTAACATGTGTCTAACATGTGTCTAACACGTGTCTGACATGTGTCTAACACGTGTCTGACATGTGTCTTACATGTGTCTAACATGTGTCTAACATGTGTCTAACATGTGTCTTACATGTGTCTAACATGTGTCTAACACGTGTCTGACATGTGTCTAACACGTGTCTGACACGTGTCTTACATGTGTCTGACATGTGTCTAACATGTGTCTGACATGTGTGTAACATGTGTCTAACATGTGTCTTACATGTGTCTAACATGTGTCTAACATGTGCCTGACATGTGTCTGACATGTGTCTAACACGTGTCGGACATGTGTCTTACATGTTTCTGACATGTGTCTGACATGTGTCTAACATGTGTCTTACAATGTGTCTAACATGTGTCTGACATGTGTCTGACATGTGTCTTCCACGTGTCTAACATGTGTCTGACATGTGTCTTCCACGTGTCTAACATGTGTCTGACATGTGTCTTACATGTGTCTGACATGTCTAACATGTGTCTAACATGTGTCTGACATGTGTCTAACATGTGTCTGACATGCGTTTAACATGTGTCCAACATGTGTCTTACATGTGTCTAACACGTGTCTGACATGTGTATGACATGTGTCTTACATGTGTCTAACACGTGTCTGACATGTGTCTGACATGTGTCTGACATGTGTCTTACATGTGTCTTACATGTGTCTAACATGTGTCTGACATGTGTCTGACATGTGTCTTACATGTGTCTGACATGTGTCTGACATGTGTCTGACATGTGTCTAACATGTGTCTGACATGTGTCTGACATGTGTCTTACATGTGTCTGACATGTGTCTGACATGTGTCTTACATGTGTCTAACATGTGTCTTACATGTGTCTTACATGTGTCTGACATGTGTCTGACATGTGTCTGACATGTGTCTGACACGTGTCTGACATGTGTCTGACATGTGTCTGACATGTGTCTTACATGTGTCTTACATGTGTCTAACATGTGTCTGACATGTGTCTAACATGTGTCTTACATGTGTCTAACACGTGTCTGACATGTGTATGACATGTGTCTTACATGTGTCTAACACGTGTCTGACATGTGTCTGACATGTGTCTGACATGTGTCTTACATGTGTCTTACATGTGTCTAACATGTGTCTGACATGTGTCTGACATGTGTCTTACATGTGTCTGACATGTGTCTGACATGTGTCTGACATGTGTCTAACATGTGTCTGACATGTGTCTGACATGTGTCTTACATGTGTCTGACATGTGTCTGACATGTGTCTTACATGTGTCTAACATGTGTCTTACATGTGTCTTACATGTGTCTGACATGTGTCTGACATGTGTCTGACATGTGTCTGACATGTGTCTGACATGTGTCTTACATGTGTCTAACATGTGTCTGACATGTGTCGGACATGTGTCTTACATGTGTCTGACATGTGTCTTACATGTGTCTTACATGTGTCTGACATGTCTTACATGTGTCTTACATGTGTCTAACATGTGTCTGACATGTGTCTTACATGTGTCTTACATGTGTCTAACATGTGTCTGACATGTGTCTGACATGTGTCTGACATGTGTCTGACATGTGTCTAACATGTGTCTTACATGTGTCTGACATGTGTCTAATATGTGTCTAACACGTGTCTGACATGTGTTTGACATGTGTCTGACATGTGTCTGACATGTGTCTGACACGTGTCTGACATGTGTCTGACACGTGTCTGACATGTGTCTTACATGTGTCTTACATGTGTCTAACATGTGTCTTACATGTGTCTGACATGTGTCTGACATGTGTCTGACACGTGTCTGACATGTGTCTTACATGTGTCTAACATGTGTCTGACATGTGTCTGACATGTGTCTTACATGTGTCTTACATGTGTCTAACATGTGTCTAACATGTGTCTGACATGTGTCTAACACGTGTCTGACACGTGTCTGACACGTGTCTTACATGTGTCTGACATGTGTCTAACATGTGTCTGACATGTGTCTGACATGTGTCTAACATGTGTCTAACACGTGTCTGACATGTGTCTTACATGTGTCTGACATGTGTCTAACATGTGTCGAACATGTGTTTAACATGTGTCTAACACGTGTCTAACATGTGTCTGACATGTGTCTAACATGTGTCTGACATGTGTCTAACATGTGTCTGACATGTGTCTGACATGTGTCTGACATGTGTCTAACATGTGTCTGACATGTGTCTGACATGTGTCTAACATGTGTCTGACATGTGTCTAACATGTGTCTAACATGTGTCTGACATGTGTCTAACATGTGTCTGACATGTGTCTAACATGTGTCTGACATGTGTCTGACATGTGTCTAACATGTGTCTGACATGTGTCTAACATGTGTCTAACATGTGTCTGACATGTGTCTAACATGTGTCTGACATGTGTCTAACATGTGTCTGACATGTGTCTGACATGTGTCTAACATGTGTCTGACATGTGTCTAACATGTGTCGAACATGTGTCTAACATGTGTTTAACATGTGTCTAACACGTGTCTAACATGTGTCTTTCGTCAGAACGGCGCTGACGTGTCTCTGGAGGACGACAGTAAGAAGCTCCGGCGGCGGCCGCGCCCCGAGCCGCTCTTCATCCCTCCACCCAAACCCTCGGTCTTCATCACTCCCTCGCTGTACTCCTCCATCAGCTCGTACCAGTCCCACCTGCGCTCCCCCGTCCGGATGGGAGACCTGCCACTGTGCCTCCCCCCCTACACGCCTCCCCCCATCCTCAGCCCGGTGCGAGAGGGCAGCGGCCTCTACTTCTCCACCTTCCTGACCTCAGCCCTGCCCCCTGCAACGCCCAAGTCTGCCACCAGGAGTCTGCTCAGGACCAGTGAGTACCAGGGATCTCTTTCTGGTCCCTCTCTGGTCTCTCTCTGGTCTCTCTCTGGTCTCTCTCTGGTCTCTCTCTGGTCTCTCTCTGGTCTTTCTCTGGTCTCTCTCTGGTCTCACTCTGGTCTCTCTCTCTGGTCCCTCTCTGGTCTCTCTCTGGTCTCTCTCTGTTCTCTCTCTGGTCTCTCTCTGGTCTCTCTCTGGTCTCTCTCTGGTCTCTCTCTGGTCTCTCTCTCTGGTCTCTCTCTCTCTGGTCTCTCTGGTCTCTCTCTCTGGTCTCTCTCTATGGTCTCTCTCTCTGGTCTCTCTCTGGTCTCTCTCTCTGGTCTCTCTCTGGGCTCTCTCTCTAGTCGCTCTCTGTTCTCTCTCTCTGGTCTCTCTCTCTGGTCTCTCTCTGGTCTCTCTCTCTGGTCTCTCTCTGGTCTCTCTCTGGTCTCTCTCTGGTCTCTCTCTCTGGTCTCTCTCGCTGGTCTCTCTCTCTGGTCTCTCTCTCTGGTCTCTCTGGTCTCTCTCTCTGGTCTCTCTCTGGTCTCTCTCTCTGGTCTCTCTCTGGTCTCTCTCTCTGGTCTCTCTCTCTGGTCTCTCTCTGGTCTCTCTCTCTGGTCTCTCTCTGGTCTCTCTCTCTGGTCTCTCTCTGGTCTCTCTCTGGTCTCTCTGGTCTCTCTCTCTGGTCTCTCTCTGGTCTCTCTCTGGTCTCTCTCTGGTCTCTCTCTGGTCTCTCTGGTCTCTCCCTCTGGTCTCTCTCTGGTCTCTCTCTCTGGTCTCTCTCTGGTCTCTCTCTCTGGTCTCTCTCTCTGGTCTCTCTCTGGTCTCTCTCTCTGGTCTCTCTCTGGTCTCTCTCTCTGGTCTCTCTCTCTGGTCTCTCTCTCTGGTCTCTCTCTGGTCTCTCTCTGGTCTCTCTGGTCTCTCTCTCTGGTCTCTCTCTGGTCTCTCTGGTCTCTCTCTGGGGTCTATCTGGTCTCTCTCTGGTCTCTCTCTGGTCTCTCTGGTCTCTCTCTGGTCTCTCTCTCTGGTCTCTCTCTGGTCTCTCTCTGGTCTCTCTCTCTGGTCTCTCTCTGGTCTCTCTCTGGTCTCTCTCTGGTCTCTCTCTGGTCTTTCTCTGGTCTCTCTCTGGTCTCTCTCTCTGGTCTCTCTCTCTCTGGTTTCTCTCTGGTCTCTCTCTCTGGTCTCTCTCTATGGTCTCTCTCTCTGGTCTCTCTCTGGTCTCTCTCTGGTCTCTCTCTGGGCTCTCTCTCTAGTCGCTCTCTGTTCTCTCGCTCTGCTCTCTCTCTCTGGTCTCTCTGGTCTCTCTCTCTGGTCTCTCTCTGGTCTCTCTCTGGTCTCTCTGGTCTCTCTCTCTGGTCTCTCTCTGGTCTCTCTGGTCTCTCTGGTCTCTCTCTCTGGTCTCTCTCTGGTCTCTCTCTGGTCTCTCTGGTCCCTCCCTCTGGTCTCTCTCTGGTCTCTCTCTGGTCTCTCTCTGGTCTCTCTGGTCTCTCTCTCTGGTCTCTCTCTGGTCTCTCCCTCTGGTCTCTCTCTGGTCTCTCTCTGGTCTCTCTCTCTCTCGGGTCTCTCTCGGGTCTCTCTCTCTCTGGTCTCTCTCTGGTCTCTCTCTGGTCTCTCTCTGGTCTCTCTCTGGTCTCTCTCTCTCTGGTCTCTCTCTGGTCTCTCTCTGGTCTCTCTCTGGTCTCTCTCTCTGGTCTCTCATATTAAACATTCTCTCTGTGTTTTCAGACAGCTGTGACATCACTCCCCCCGTCCTCACGTCCATCGGAGAGGCCACACCCGTCAGCCTCGAGCCGTGAGTTATTTTTTGGTCCTGGGTCCTGTTCCGGGTCTTGGTCCTGGTCCGGCTCCTGGACCTGGTCCGGGTCTGACCTCTCTCTCTCTCTCTCTGCAGTCGTATAAACATTGGGTGTCGGTACCAGGCTGAGACACACACACACACAGACACACACTCAGACACACACACAGACACACACACACACACACACTCAGACACACACTCAGACACAACACACACAGACACACACACAGACACACACACAGACACACACACACACACACACACACACACACACACACACAGACACACACACACACACACACACAGACACACACTCAGACACACACACAGACACACACACAGACACACACTCAGACACACACTCAGACACACACTCAGACACACACTCAGACACACACACAGACACACACTCAGACACACACACAGACACACACTCAGACACACACAGACACACACACACACCCACACACTCAGAGACACACACAGACACACACAGACACACACACACACACACACACACAGACACACACACAGACACACACTCAGACACAGACACACACTCAGACACACACTCAGACACACACACAGACACACACTCAGACAACACTCAGACACACACTCAGACACACACTCAGACACACACTCAGACAACACTCAGACACACACTCAGACACACACTCAGACAACACTCAGACACACACAGACACACACACTCAGACACACTTCTGTCTCTCTGCAGGATCATGTCCAGGCTGAGTCTCTCTGACATGAACGTGCTGTTGTTCCGCTGTGACGCTGAGGAGCAGGAGGAGGGAAGAGGCTGTTACTCTGTCCCCGGCTGGGAGACCCTCAAGTACGCTGGCCTGCAAGGTCAGTCTGCGACCTCTGACCCCTCTGTCTGCGACCTCTGACCCCTCAGTCTGCGACCCCTGACCCCTCAGTCTGCGACCTCTGACCCCTCAGTCTGCGACCTCTGACCCCTCTGTCTGCGACCTCTGACCCCTCAGTCTGCAACCCCTGACCCCTCAGTCTGCGACCCCTGACCCCTCAGTCTGCGACCCCTGACCCCTCAGTCTGCAACCCCTGACCCCTCAGTCTGCGACCCCTGACCCCTCAGTCTGCGACCCCTGACCCGACCTCTGACCCCTCAGTCTGCGACCTCTGACCCCTCTGTCTGCGACCTCTGACCCCTCAGTCTGCGACCCCTGACCCCTCAGTCTGTGACCTCTGACCCCTCAGTCTACAACCTGTCTCTGCAGGTCTGGTGTCAGCGATGGCCTCCATCCGTCCCAACAATGACCTGGGTCACCCTCTGTGTGCCAACCTGAGGCAGGGAGACTGGCTCCTGGACTTCATCTGCAGCCGCCTGCAGCAGAGGGAGGGGCCCCTGGCACAGGTCACTGCTCTACACTCAGGGGCCCTCAACACTAACCCTAACCCTACACTCTGTAGTCAGGGGCCCTCAACACTAACCCTACACTCTGTAGTCAGGGACCCTCAACACTAACCCTACACTCTGTAGTCAGGGGCCCTCAACACTAACCCTACACTCTGTAGTCAGGGGCCCTCAACACTAACCCTACACTCTGTAGTCAGGGACCCTCAACACTAACCCTACACTCTGTAGTCAGGGGCCCTCAACACTAACCCTACACTCTGTAGTCAGGGGCCCTCAACACTAACCCTACACTCTGTAGTCAGGGACCCTCAACACTAACCCTACACTCTGTAGTCAGGGGCCCTCAACACTAACCCTACACTCTGTAGTCAGGGGCCCTCAACACTAACCCTACACTCTGTAGTCAGGGACCCTCAACACTAACCCTACACTCTGTAGTCAGGGGCCCTCAACACTAACCCTAACCCTACACTCTGTAGTCAGGGGCCCTCAACACTAACCCTACACTCTGTAGTCAGGGGCCCTCAACACTAACCCTACACTCTGTAGTCAGGGGCCCTCAACACTAACCCTACACTCTGTAGTCAGGGGCCCTCAACACTAACCCTACACTCTGTAGTCAGGGGCCCTCAACACTAACCCTACACTCTGTAGTCAGGGGCCCTCAACACTAACCCAACACTCTGTAGTCAGGGGCCCTCAACACTAACCCTACACTCTGTAGTCAGGGGCCCTCAACACTAACCCTACACTCTGTAGTCAGGGACCCTCAACACTAACCCTACACTCTGTAGTCAGGGGCCCTCAAATACCACAGTATCAATCTGGGTGATTTTTTTTTTACTGGGATTTTGAAAAAGTCCTTAAGAGTTCCATAAGTTTACCTCCTGAAAATGTTGTCTCTCAAAATCTGGTCTCTCTGGTCTCTCTCTGGTCTCTCTCTGGTCTCTCTCTGGTCTCTCTCTGGTCTCTCTCTGGTCTCTCTCTGGTCTCTCTCTGGTCTCTCTCTCTGGTCTCTCTCTGGTCTCTCTCTGGTCCCTCTCTCTGGTCCCTCTCTCTGGTCTCGCTCTAGTCTCTGTCTGGTCTCTTTCTGGTCCCTCTCTCTGCTCTATCTTTCTGGTCTCTCTCTGGTCTCTCTCTGGTCCCTCTCTCTGGTCTCGCTCTAGTCTCTGTCTGGTCTCTTTCTGGTCCCTCTCTCTGCTCTATCTTTCTGGTCTCTCTCTGGTCTCTCTCTCTGGTCTCTCTGGTCTCTCTCTCTGGTCTCTCTCTCTGGTCTCTCTCTGGTCTCTCTCTGGTCTCTCTCTGGTCTCTCTCTGGTCTCTCTCTGGTCTCTCTCTCTGGTCTCTCTCTTCTCTCTCTCTCTCTGGTCCCTCTCTCTGTCTCTCTCTGGTCTCTCTCTGGTCTCTCTCTGGTCTCTCTCTGGTCCTCTCTCTGTCTCTCTCTCTGGTCTCTCTCTCTGGTCTCTCTCTGGTCTCTCTCTGGTCTCTCTCTCTCTCTCTGTCTCTCTCTGTCTCTCTCTTCTGGTCCCTCTCTCTGCTCTATCTTTCTGGTCTCTCTCTGGTCTCGCTCTAGTCTCTGTCTGGTCTCTCTCTGGTCTCTCTCTCTGGTCCCTCTGGTCTCTCTCTGGTCTCGCTCTCTCTCTCTGGTCTCTCTCTCTGGTCTCACTGTCTGGCCTCTCTCTCTCTGGACCCTCTCTAGTCTCTCTCTAGTCTCTGTCTGGTCTCCATCTCTGGTCTCTCTCTGGTGTCTCTCTGGTCTCTCTCTCTGGTCTCTTTCTCTGGTTTCTCTCTGGTCTCTCTCTCTGGTCTCTCTCTAATCTCTCTCAGGTCTCTCTCGTCTCTCTCTGGTCTCTCTCTCTGGTCTCTCTCTGGTCTCTCTCTGGTCTCTCTCTCTGGTCTCTCTCCGGTGTCTCTCTTGTTTCTCTCTGTTCTCTCTCTGGTCTCTCTCTCTGTTCTCTTTGGTCTCTCTCTGGTCTCTCTCTGGTGTCTCTCTGGTCTCTCTCTGGTCTCTCTCTGGTCTCTCTCTGGTCTCTCTCTGGTCTCTCTGTCTGGTCTCTCTCTCTGGTCTCTCTATCTGGTCTCTCTCTCTGGTCTATCTCTGGTCTCTCTGTCTGGTCTCTCTCTCTGGTCCCTCTGTCTGGTCTCTCTCTCTGGTCTCTCTCTGCTCTCTCTCTCTCTGGTCTCTCTCTGGTCTCTCTGGTCTCTCTGTCTGGTCTCTCTCTCTGGTCTGTCTCTCTGGTCTCTCTCTAGTCTCTCTCTGGTCTCTCTCTCTGGTCTCTCTCTCTGGTCTCTCTCCGGTCTCTTTCTGGTCCCTCTGGTCTCTCTCTAATCTCTCTCTGGTCTCTCTGTCTGGTCTCTTTCTCTGGTTTCTCTGTCTGGTCTCTCTCTCTGGTCTCTCTCTAGTCTCTCTCTGGTCTCTCTCTGGTCTCTCTCTCTCTGGTCTCTCTCTATTCTCTCTGGTCTCTCTCTGATCTCTCTGTCTGGTCTCTCTCTCTGGTCTCTCTGTCCGGTGTCTCTCTCTAGTCTCTCTCTGGTCTCTCTCTGGTCTCTCTCTCTGTTCTCTCTGGTCTCTCTCTGGTCTCTCTCTGGTCTCTCTCTGGTCTCTTTCTGGTTTCTCTCTCTGGTCTCTCCCTGGTCTCTCTCTGGTCTCTCTCTGGTCTCTCCTCTGGTCTCTCTCTGGTCTCTCTCTGGTCTCTCTGTCTGGTCTCTCTCTCTGGTCTCTCTCTGGTCTCTCTCTCTCTGGTCTCTCTCTGGTCTCTCTCTCTCTGGTCTCTCTGTCTGGTCTCTCTCTGGTCTCTCTCTCTGGTCTCTCTCTGGTCTCTCTCTCTGGTCTCTCTCTCTGGTCTCTCTGTCTGGTCTCTCTCTCTGGTCTCTCTCTCTGGTCTCTCTCTGGTCTCTCTCTGGTCTCTCTCTCTGGTCTCTCTCTCTGTTCTCTCTCTGGTCTCTCTCTGGTCTCTCTCTGGTCTCTCTCTGGTCTCTCTCTCTGGTCTCTCTGTCTGGTCTCTCTCTCTGGTCTCTCTCTCTGGTCTCTCTCTGGTCTCTCTCTCTGGTCTCTCTCTGGTCTCTCTCTCTGTTCTCTCTGGTCTCTCTCTGGTCTCTCTCTGGTGTCTCTCTGGTCTCTCTCTAGTCTCTCTCTGGTCTATCTCTGGTGTCTCTGTCTGGTCTCTCTGTCTGGTCTCTCTCTGGTCTCTCTCTGGTCTCTCTCTGGTCTCTCTCTGGTCTCTCCCTGGTCTCTCTCTGGTCTCTTTCTGGTCTCTCTCTGGTCTCTCTCTGGTCTCTCCCTGGTCTCTCTCTGGTCTCTTTCTGGTCTCTCTCTGGTCTCTCTCTGGTCTCTCTCTAGTCTCTCTCTGGTCTATCTCTGGTCTCTCTGTCTGGTCTCTCTCTCTGGTCTCTCTCTCTTGTCTCTCTCTGGTCTCTCTCTCTGGTCTCTCTGTGTGGTCTCTCTCTCTGGTCTCTCTCTGGTCTCTCTCTCTGGTCTCTCTCTCTGGTCTCTCTCTGGTCTCTCTCTCTGTTCTCTCTGGTCTCTCTATGGTCTCTCTCTCTGGTCTCTTCTGGTCTGTCTTTGGTCTCTCTCTGGTCTCTCTCTCTGGTCTCTCTCTGGTCTCTCTCTCTGGTGTCTCTCTTGTCTCTCTCTCTGGTCTCTCTCTGGTCTCTCTCTGGTCTCTCTCTAGTCTCTCTCTGGTCTCTCTCTCTGGTCTCTCTCTGGTCTCTCTCTTTGGTCTCTCTCTCTGGTCTCTCTCTCTGGTCTCTCTCTGGTCTGGTCTCTCTCTGGTCTCTCTCTGGTCTCTCTCTCTGGTCTCTCTCTCTGTTCTTTCTGGTCTCTCTCTCTGGTCTCTCTGTCTGGTCTCTCTCTCTGGTCTCTCTGTCTGGTCTCTCTCTGGTCTCTCTCTCTGGTCTCTATCTGGTCTCTCTCTGGTCTCTCTCTCTGGTCTCTCCGTCTGGTGTCTCTCTCTGGTCTCTCTCTCTCTGGTCTCTCTCTTGTCTCTCTCTGGTCTCTCTCTGGACTCTCTCTCTGGTCTCTCTCTCTGGTCTCTCTCTGGTGTCTCTCTCTAGTCTCTCTCTGGTCTCTCTCTCTGGTCTCTCTCTGTAGTCTCTCTCAGGTCTCTCTCTGTTCTCTCTCTAGTCTCTCTCTGGTCTCTCTCTGGTCTCTCTCTGTTCTCTCTCTAGTCTCTCTCTGGTCTCTCTCTGGTCTCTCTCTGTTCTCTCTCTGGTCTCTTTCTGGTCTCTCTCTGGTCTCTTTCTGGTCTCTCTCCCTGGTCTCTTCCTGTCCTTTAATAAAGTAGATTTAATAAAGTGCCGTGTTCTTGTCGAAGGAGGATATAAAGTGATTTAATGAAAGACAAACTCTGGGATCAATGAGAACATTTACTTTATTCTGAAGTTTGAACTAGTTTGTTTCCGACCGGGACCATGTTGGATCGGCACCATGTTGGACCGGCACCATGTGGGAGACACCAGGGACACTGGGGGATGGGTGAAGAGGAAGAACGGCCCCTATCTGAAGCCCAGCCGTGTTCAGTTGTTAGTCCATCACAATGTAACACAAGTGTGTCCACCAGGGGGCGCCAGGACACAGACACACACAGACACACAGACACACATGGACATACACACACTCACACTCACACGGACACACACACACACATACACGTTTTTGTTACCTGGTGGGTCCCTTTGACAGGGCCGTTCAGAATGGGACCCATAGACATAATCTTTTTTTACTGGGACTACTTTAAGTAATACAAAACAGTCAATAGAAAACAAACAACTATTTTAAAGGAATTTTATTTTTGATTTTTTTTTTTGAATTGCAGTGATTCTATTTTTGACATAGAATTTAATGCCACTCCATGTCCGATGTCTAAGGTCATCTGGTGAGGCATTAATGCAGGCCAGGCAGTGAGACTTCCCAGGGACCTTTCCAGTCTGTATGAAAAGGCGTCATGGTCTTCTCCACAGCCTTCACCTCAGATGCAGACCATGGCTTTCTTACACGTTCTAGGGAGAGAAATAAAAATATATTAGCAATATACACTCCCAGGGTTAGGACCAAGCAGCCTGGCTGTAATCCCCCACCTGGTACACTTACCAGAAGGGGCACTGCCACTACCATGGGGTGCATCTGGATGAATGGTTGAAGGTTCTCCGCTTGAAGTTTCTTTTAGCCCGTCCGTTTGTGAGAGGATCTCTACTGCTCTCCCTGTCGCACAGAAAATAAAAATACAAGTGGCCTTTAGGGGAAAAAAATCATACATATTTTAATAATATCAAGAATTACCTTCAGGCTCAATTTGTATCTGGTCGAGGCTCTTTCCTTTGAATTCCGTCACTCTTCCCTGCTCCATGGCCATCAACACTTTGCTGATTTTGGCCAGCTCCAGTGTCCCCTCTGGTAGTCTGTAATATTGCCTGTGGATGCGAATGTCATGGCCGAGGAAGTTGGCAAGTATGTCCATTTCATTCTCTTTCATATTGAGAACTGTAGACATAGTAGCTATGTGCTTTCTAAGTTTGGTTGAGGATAGCATCTCTGGATGCACCGCACCACATTCTTTGGCTACCTGCCATAGGGAGTCTGATCCCCTGATGTGGGTGTCTGCGCCCGGGCGGGAAAAGAAGTATGGGTTATGGTCAGAGATGGAACAGGCCCTTCTGTTCTCCACCAGCACCTCCATCCAAGCAATCATTTCAGGAGTCAAAAGAACCGGCACTTTCCGACTTCTTTTCCCTTTAATTTCAATGCGTTGAAAATGCTGACACAGCTTTTTCTCAAGTTGGGACAGTCCCAGAGCAATGTCAGAATGGATCCCAGTCTTACTTCTTAAGGTAAACGCTGTCAGTGGCATCTTTGAAACCTCACCTTCCCTTCTTCGATTGAAAATGATGACCTCACAAAGAGTCAAAACTGCCAGTTTAGACCCAATGCTTAGACGTTGGCTCACTTATTAGGGTTTGCACATATTCAGGTCGACATACCTCAATATGTGCATGCATGGCTCTAACGTCCTCAGTCAGAGGGAGCAGGTCCGGAGTGTTCCACTTGGCTTGCCGGAGGGTCTGTAGGGCAGCAGAAGAAACACAGACGTCCCACCTCTTCTCAAAAAACAGCCGGCTTCGTTGGAGGTTTTTAATAAATAGTCATCAACACAATGCTCCATTTTTGAGTCACATTCAAGAATATCTGCTTTCTGAGGCTATGGCCGAGTTTGAGGGCCAAGGATGGAGTCTTGTATTGATTTTTTCCTCATCATATCCAGCCACAGACCTGACTGCATCAATCACATGGTTAAAGTTGGAAGGAATAAAGAAATCCTTCATTGTTTTCAGTTTCCCTGCGGTTTTTGCTTCGTTAATTAACCTACCGACTTCTCTCATTTTCTGCCTAATGTAATCATGCTTAGTCTTATCATGCCCGTGTTTTAAGTACAGGTGCTCTCCGAGTCTCAGAATCCCCTTTTCTGCTTTGACAACACCCGTGACCTCATCCTGATGCATTGCCGAAATTAAAGACCACAGCTTTTTGCTGATGCCCTCCGGTACAGGCTGGGCTAGGGAGCAGAGGGACTGGACCCTACTTCTACCTGGTTTAGCCTGGGCATCTTTCTGTGAAAGCCGGCACCTGGCCACATGCCTCCACAGCGACTTTCGCTTAAGCAATGCCCCACAGTCTATACAGTGCAAAAACTCACTGGATTTAACTGGGGAATTTGGCTGTTTAGCTGGGACTAAAGTTCCAATGCCGGCCTTTAAAACCTCAAAATTGTGCTCACGGTTTCCACTATTCCTGATCAAATCAAACTGAAGTTTACGTGCTTTAGATTTCACAGGTAGAGCCAATGCTCTGGCTACGTCACTTTCATTTCCATGTTTTCTAGTCAAATGACGGGACATTTTGTGGCAGGACATTGAACAGTAGAGGCAGAAGTGTCTCTTGCTGTAAACTCGCCCCCCATTTTTCTTCTTTTGCAGCTGCATGATAACAATCTTATTTGCCTTTGGTTCGTCACTTTCCGAGTCTTGAAGAAAAGTGTTTTTGATTTTTCTTTTTCCATACTTTTTTACAGGTTTCTTCTTGACAGTTAAATCGTCAGAATCTGAGTCCACTTCATCAATTAGGGACTCTTGACTAAGCTGCACAAACAACAAATAATTTGTAATCATTCTATATAACAATTTGAAGTCATGACTTGTAGTCAGCACTTACCAGTGGTTTGTAAGCGTGCGCTTCAGTGTGCTGCTCTGTGATTGGCTGCAGCCTAATGAACCACACACTTGCACCTTTTCTAGCCTGACACCTGATTTCCTCTGTTGTGCTGCTCCATGATTGGCTCCAGCCTCTGTTGCGCTGCTCCATGATTGGCTCCAGCCTCTGTTGTGCTGCTCCATGATTGGCTCCAGCCTGCTGGACTGAAATTGCCCCAGTGTGCCCCTCCTTGATATCCCGCAACCCACCACCAGGGTTCCGACCACATAACACACTTTTTTCAGGAAAGTAAAGGACCTAGGGCGTAGCTGTGGTTGTTGTTTGCTGGTCCCAGCGGCAGCAGAACCAGGTGGTGGACACTGGTAGTAAGGGATGCTGTCAGACTGTAGAAGGAGTCCTATTGAGCCGTGATGGTGGGACTCCTGGTACAGCTGTGCAGTACCAGGCCCAAACCGTGGAGCAGGACTATGGTGTCTCTCTGGTCTCTCTCTGGTCTCTCTCTGGTCTCATGTACTGGTGTGTGTGTGTGTGTGTCTCCCTCAGACGTGTTTAGCAGTCCTCAGACCTGTGTGTGTGTGTGTGTGTCTCCCTCAGACGTGTGTACCAGTCCTCGGACCTCTGAGGACCGGGAGAGCAGAGCAAAGATCCTGTGTTTGTTGGACTCTGTGATCGACGCTCTGGTCTGGACCATCTCCAAACGAGGTCTGTCCTCACAGCAGCAGAACCTCAGGTTGGGACGCCTCACCCTGCTGCTGTCCCACATCCGCCACGCCAGGTACACACCTGCTGAGGTCCCGGACCTGCCGAGGTTGGTTGGATGTGAGGACCTCAGGTTGAGGGTTGGGTGTCAGGACCTCAGGTTGAGGGTTGGGTGGTAGGACCTCAGGTTGAGGGTTGGATGTGAGGACCTCAGGTTGAGGGTTGGGTGTGAGGACCTCAGGTTGAGGGTAGGGTGTGAGGACCTCAGGTTGAGGGTAGGGTGTGAGGACCTCAGGTTGAGGGTTGGGTGTGAGGACCTCAGGTTGAGGGTAGGGTGTGAGGACCTCAGGTTGAGGGTTGGGTGTGAGGGCCTCGTGTTGAGGGTTGGGTGTGAGGACCTCAGGTTGAGGTTTGGGTGTGAGGACCTCAGGTTGAGGGTTGGGTGTGAGGACTTCAGGTTGAGGGTAGGGTGTGAGGACCTCAGGTTGAGGGTTGGGTGTCAGGACCTCAGGTTGAGGGTTGGGTGGAGGACCTCAGGTTGAGGGTTGGGTGTGAGGACCTCAGGTTGAGGGTTGGGTGTGAGGACCTCAGGTTGAGGGTAGGGTGTGAGGACCTCAGGTTGAGGGTTGGGTGTGAGGGCCTCGTGTTGAAGGGCCTCGTGTTGAGGGGTTGGGTGTGAGGACCTCAGGTTGAGGTTTGGGTGTGAGGACCTTGTGTTGAGGTTTGGGTTGGGGACCTCAGGTTGAGGTTTGGGTGTGAGGACCTCAGGTTGAGGGTTGGGTGTGAGGACCTCAGGTTGAGGGTTGGGTGTGAGGACCTCAGGTTGAGGGTTGGGTGTGAGGACCTCAGGTTGAGGGTTGGGTGTGAGGACCTCAGGTTGAGGGTTGGGTGTGAGGACTTCAGGTTGAGGTTTGGGTGTGAGGACCTCAGGTTGAGGGTTGGGTGTGAGGACTTCAGGTTGAGGGTAGGGTGTGAGGACCTCAGGTTGAGGGTTGGGTGTCAGGACCTCAGGTTGAGGGTTGGGTGGAGGACCTCAGGTTGAGGTGGGTTGAGGACCTCAGGTTGAGGTGGGGTGAGGACCTCAGGTTGAGGGTAGGGTGTGAGGACCTCAGGTTGAGGGTTGGTGTGAGGGCCTCGGTTGAGGTTGGGTGTGAGGGCCTCGTGTTGAGGGTTGGGTGTGAGGACCTCAGGTTGAGGTTTGGGTGTGAGGACCTCGTGTTGAGGTTTGGGTGTGAGGACCTCAGGTTGAGGTTTGGGTGTGAGGACCTCAGGTTGAGGGTTGGGTGTGAGGACCTCAGGTTGAGGGTTGGGTGTGAGGACCTCAGGTTGAGGGTTGGGTGTGAGGACCTCAGGTTGAGGGTTGGGTGTGAGGACCTCAGGTTGAGGGTTGGGTGTAGAGTTTCGTTCGGGCCTGAAAAATCAAGCCCGACCCGGCCCGAGCCCGCTAATACTAAGCCCGAGCCCGTATAAGCCCGACCAATTAAGGTTGTATAATAGGCCCGAGCCCGTATAAGCCCGACACATCTGATTTCCCTTGCAAGTTTAGCCACTTCTGAATGTGTTTTGTACGTCCACCTGATCCATTTCTGTTAATGTTCCGTGTGTTCGCTGTTGACCGTAGCATTCAACAGGAAAAACAGGGATGATGCATTCACGGCTTGCTGCGGCTGTAGGATACGCCGGTTACGGTGATAAATATATCAACTTTTTTAATAACTTGTTGTCAATCAACGGACATTATTATTAATAAATACATATATGCATATCATTATGTATGAAAATCATAAATAATAAAAAATATTGATAAAAAAAAATTAAAAAAGTAAAAATAAAAAGGAGCCCGAGCCCGGAACGGCCCGACTGCTGAGCACTGAAGTGAGGCCCAAGCCCGGCCCGTACTCGGGTCGGGCTCGGGCCTGCTCGGGCTCGGGCTGAAAAGCGAAAATCTAGGTTGGGTGTGAGGACCTCAGGTTGAGGGTTGGGTGTGAGGACCTCAGGTTGAGGGTTGGGTGTGAGGACCTCAGGTTGAGGGTTGGGTGTGAGGACCTCAGGTTGAGGGTTGGGTGGAGGACCTCAGATTGAGGGTCACTCACTCCTCTTTTCTGTCTCAGTGACAAAGGTCTGGACCATCTCTGCTCCATGAAGAGGAAGAATGTCGTGTTTGCTCACGACCTGCTGCTGGAGATGCTCGAGCCGACCACAAGCCCCGCTCCCGAGGCATTGAGCCAATCACAGCCTGAATCCTGCCCTCCAGGACACACCCCCAAGGTCTTCAGCCAATCACAGCCTGAGTCAAGCCCTCCAGGACACACCCCCAAGGCCTTCAGCCAATCACTGCCTGAATCCTGTCCTCCAGGACACGCCCCCAAGGTCTTCAGCCAATCACAACCTGAGTCCATCCCTCCAGGACACATCCACAATCTCAATAGGCACCTGCAAGCCCCGCCCACACACAGTGAACTGGCCAATCACAGCCTGGCACTTGCTCACACAGAGAATCACAGGTGAGTGTTGTTTCCTGATCCTCACCAGTGACCAGAAAGAGACCAGAAAGAGGGACCAGAGAGAGACCAGAGAGAGACCACAAAGACCAGAGAGGGACCAAAGAGAGAGAGACCAGAGAGAGACCAGAGAGAGACCAGAAAGAGACCAGAAAGAGACCACAAAGACCAGAGAGAGACCACAAAGACCAGAGAGAGACCAAAGAGAAACCAGAGAGAGACCAGAAAGAGACCACAAAAACCAGAGAGAGACCAGAGACACCAGATAGAGACCAGAAAGAGACCAGAGAGAGAGACCACAGACAGAGACCACAGAGAGACCAGAGAGAGAGTTCAGAGAGAGCCAGAGAGAGAGACCAGAGAGAGAGACCAGAGAGAGAGACCAGAGAGAGAGACCAGAGAGAGACCAGAGAGAGACCAGAGAGAGACCAGAGAGAGAGACCAGAGAGAGACCAGAGAGAGAGACCAGAGAGAGAGACCAGAGAGAGACCAGAAAGAGAGAGACCAGAGAGAGAGACCAGAGAGAGAGACCAGAGAGAGAGACCAGAGAGAGACCAGAGAGAGACCAGAGAGAGACCAGAGAGAGACCAGAGAGAGACCAGAGAGAGACCAGAGAGAGACCAGAGAGAGAGAGCAGAGAGAGAGAGCAGAGAGAGACCAGAGAGAGACCAGAGAGAGAGACCAGAGAGAGAGACCAGAGAGAGAGACCAGAGAGAGACCAGAGAGAGAGACCAGAGAGAGAGACCAGAGAGAGAGACCAGAGAGAGAGACCAGAGAGAGACCAGAGAGAGAGACCAGAGAGAGAGAATATTCAGATCATTGATTGTTTTTGTATTTGTTTTCAGTTTTCAGTCAGATTCATGGACCAAGAACTGAAGCTAAAGACACCTGGGGGCTGAGCTACAGACATCAGAGGGGCGGGGCTACAGACACCTGAGGTTGGAGCTACAGACAACAGAGGGGCGGGGCTACAGACACCTGAGGTTGGAGCTACAGACATCAGAGGGGCGGGGCTACAGACACCTGGGGGCAGAGATTTGAAGTAGTGTTTCGGTGCATGTTGTTCAACCCTTTGAGCAAGACAAGATTGTCACATGTTTATGGTTCAAGGGCCAGAGATTAGGGCTCAGGTTAGGAGTCAGGGGTCATGGTTCAAGGGTCAGGGTTCAGGGATTCAGGGTTCAGGGGTTCAGGGGTTAGGATTCAGGGGTCTGTGTCTTTCTCATAAACTGTTTTTTTCTAAAATCCACAATTTGTGAAACAAACTCTGCTCTGATCTGAGCGTGTGCAGTTTCCATCTGGAACTTGCCTTCTACAGCCACGCTCACGCCTGTCTCTGATTGGTCAGAGCGCTCACGCCTGTCTCTGATTGGTCAGAGCGCTCACGCCTGTCTCTGATTGGTCAGAGCGCTTACGCCTGTCTCTGATTGGTCAGAAGCAGACGTGAGGCAGACCTTCAGGAATGTTTGCATGTTCTCTCTGTGCTTGTTTAACTCTTCGTGTTTCGTTTGGAGCCGTGTTCACCTCTGCAGTTTTATTATGTCCTAGATACTGTATACTCTTCCTCTGGTCTCGTTCTGGTCTCGCTCTGGTCTCTCTCTGGTCTCTCTCTGGTCTCTCTCTGGTCTTTCACTGGTCTTCCTCTGGTCTCGCTCTGGTCCCACTCTGGTCTCGCTCTGGTCTTCCTCTGGTCTCGTTCTGGTCTCTTCAGTAGTGATGTGTCTCCAGTTTGTGGCCTTTTCAAACGACTGTTAAACATTAAACTTTGTTCTTGTTTTTTCTTTTGTTTTGTAAATTAACTGTTTTTATCTGCAAAAATAAAAACGTTTTCTGTGTCACTTTAGTCCTGCTTTAGTCCTGCTTTAGTCCTGCTTTAGTCCTGATTTAGACCTGCTTTAGTCCTGCTTTAGACCTGCTTTAGTCCTGCTTTAGTCCTGCTTTAGTCCTGCTTTATTCCTGCTTTAGACCTGATTTATTCCTGCTTTAGACCTGCTTTAGTCCTGCTTTAGACCTGCTTTAGTCCTGCTTTAGACCTGCTTTAGACCTGATTTAGACCTGCTTTAGTCCTGCCTTAGACCTGCTTTAGAGTTTTGAGTTCTAACATAAAAGACAGACTCTGGTTCAAATCTTTTGATTTTTTTTAATGACAATAATAATACAATTTATTTATTGAGAACATTCATTTTTTTTATACCAGGGTTAGAGAGGGACCAGAGAGAGAGACCAGAGAGAGAGACCAGAGAGGGACCAGAGAGAGACCAGAGAGAGAGACAAGAGAGAGACCAGAGGGAGACCAGAGAGAGACCAGAGAGAGAGACCAGAGAGAGACCAGAGAGAGACCAGAGAGACCAGAGAGAGACCAGAGGGAGACCAGAGAGTGACCAGAGAGAGAGACCAGAGAGAGACCAGAGAGAGAGACCAGAGAGAGACCAGAGAGAGAGACCAGAGAGGGACCAGAGAGAGAGACCAGAGAGGGACCAGAGAGAGAGACCAGAGAGAGACCAGAGAGAGAGACCAGAGAGGGACCAGAGAGAGCCGCGGTCACGTAGGGGGCGGGCCGTTGGTGTAGCTGAGGGCGGGGGAGAAGGAGAGAGCGAAGGACTGAGAGCAGTGTGAGGAGTTCTGAGAGGAGAGGAGGAGCCGGAGGACCAGTAGGAGCAGGAGGAGCAGGAGGAGAAGATGCTGAGGCAGGGAGGAGCTCGACCTGAGGACACAGAGAGGAGGTGCAGCTTTAAACATGTGTTATTTAGACTAAAGTTACAGACCTGAGCTTTAAACATGTGTTATTTAGACTAAAGTTACAGACCTGAGCTTTAAACATGTGTTATTCAGACTAAAGTTACAGACCTGAGCTTTAAACATGTGTTATTCAGACTAAAGTTACAGACCTGAGCTTTAAACATGTGTTATTTAGACTAAAGTTACAGACCTGAGCTTTAAACATGTGTTATTCACACTAAAGTTACAGACCTGAGCTTTAAACATGTGTTATTTAGACTAAAGTTACAGACCTGAGCTTTAAACATGTGTTATTTAGACTAAAGTTACAGACCTGAGCTTTAATAATATAAGATGGAGCGTACCTTTTGGCGGTCGGTGCGTCTGTAGCAGCGGAAGGTCTGAGCTCCTTCTTCAAACAGAAAAAACAACATTACAATCACTGTGTGTGTGTCTGTGTGAATACAGTATGTCTGTGTGTGTGTGTGTCTGTGTGTGTGTGAATACAGTATGTCTGTGTGTGAGAGTGTGTCTGTGTGTGTGTGTGTGTGTCTGTGTGTGTGCGTGCGTGTCTGTGTGTATGTGTCTGTGTGTGTGAATGTGAGAGTGTGTGTGTCTGTGTGGGTTTGTGTGTGTCTGTGTGAATGTGTCTGTGTGGTTCTGTGTGTGTGAGTGTGTGTCTGTGTGAATGTGTCTGTGTCTGTGAGTGTGTGCTTCTCACCAGTCGTGTGTGTAGAGCCCTTCTCTCGTTGTGTGTCTGTTGTTGCAGTAGTTTCATCTTGTTGTGTATCACTTCCAGTTTCTCTTTGGCCTCGAGGCCGACGCCCGAACAACAGTCTCTGAGTAACTCACCCCCGAGAGAGACAAGAGAGAGCACCTCGGGCCGACGAGAGCGCAGGAGAGAGTCCAGGACCTGAGAGAGACACACACACACGACACACACCAGACAGAGACACACACACACACACACATGGTACACACATGGTACACACACGTACACATGGTACACACACACACACGGTACACACACACACATGGTACAAGCACACACACACACACACACACACAAATACATGTTACACACACACAAACCAGTAAGTCTTGGTGCTTCAGGAGGACCCTCTAACTGTGAGTATGTCTTGGTGCTTCAGGAGGACCCTCTTACTGTGAGTATGTCTTGGTGCTTCAGGGGGCCCTCTTACAGTGAGTGAGTCTTGGTGCTTCAGGGGACCCTCTTACAGTGAGTATATCTTGGTGCTTCAGGAGGACCCTCTTACAGTGAGTGAGTCTTGGTGTTTCAGGAGGACCCTCTTACCGTGAGTGTGTGTTGGTGTTTGAGCAGGCCTTCTCTGGTCAGAGTCTGGTCTCTGAGGTTCACAGAGTACAGTTGTGCTTCACTCTGAGACAGCCACAGCAGCAGGTCCTGGAGCGCCTGGTGGAAATCCTGTGGGACACAGACATCTTTATCTGACGCAGGTGACAAAAGGTCCACCCTCACCCTCATCCCCACCCTGACCCTCACCCTCACTCTCTCCCTCACTCTCACTCTCACTCTCACCCTCTCCCTCATCCTCACCCTCACTCTCTCCCTCACTCTCACCCTCACTTTCATCCTCACCCTCTCTCACTCTCATCCTCACCCGCTCCCTCATCCTCACCCTCACACTCACCCTCACCCTCATCCTCACCCGCTCCCTCATCCTCACCCTCACACTCACCCTCACCCTCACCCTCACACAGCCTCACCCCTGCAGTGTGTACCTGGCACTTGCAGAGCTTGTGATATAGCCGCTGCTCCCAGTCCTGGAGCGAGGTGAAGGCCTGTGCCCAGCTGTGGTTGGCCGAGTCCAGCGCATCCTGGATGTCCCCCCTGTCCCCTGTCTCCCCCCTCTCCCCGGTCTCACCCCTGTCCAACGTCTCACCCCTGTGTCCCGTCTCCCCCCTCTCCCTGGTCTCACCCCTGTCCAACGTCTCACCCCTATCCCCCGTCTCCCCCCTGTCCCCGGTCTCACCCTTGTCCGACGTCTCACCCCTGTCCCCAATCTCCCCCCTGTCCCCCGTGCACAGGTGTCTGTAGCTCAGGTTCACAGAGATCATCAGGCATTTGTAACTGCAGAACATCCTCTGTATCTCCTGTGAGAGAGAGGGGGGAGAGAGGAGAGAGGGAGGGGGGAGAGAGGGGAGAGGGGGGAGAGAGGGGAGAGAGGGGAGAGGGGGGGAGAGAGGGGGAGAGAGGAGAGAGGGGGGTAAAGAGAGGGGGGAGAGAGGTGAGAGAAGGGATGGGGGAGAGAGGAGAGGGGAGGAAGGGAGGAGAGATGGGAGGAGAGTGGGGTTTGTGGAGAGGGAGGGGGGGAAGGGGGTAGAGGGTACGGGAGAGGGGGGGGAGGGAGGGGGGAGGCTGGGTGAGCTGGCTGGGTCGCGTGGATGTCCTGCGTGCTTTTTCTCGCTCGTCCTCGGTGCGTGGTTTGTGACTCGGGCCGGGGGCTATGGTGGATCGGAGGGAGGTGCGTGGGGTTGTGACGGGCTGTCGTTACTAACGCTCGGTGTCTGGCCATCCGGGGTGCTCCGGGCGCGTGGCGTGGTTGTACAGCGGCCGGTGACGGGGTGGATGGGCTATTGTGGAGTGGGGTCTAGCGTCATGAGTCCTGATTCTGCAGGTTGGATGTTAGGAGAGTGCTGTCTACCAAACCAGATACTCGGCATACTAAAACAAAAAGGTGCGTCGGCTGGGACACGGCGGTCGAGTGGGGTCTCCGGGGGGGGCAGTGACGCGCTGAGAATAGATTAGCGAGCAGAGGGAGGAGAGCGGGGGAGGGTAGGAGTTGACGGGAGGCTGGGGGGAAACGGGAAGTTCGGGGGGCGGGGGATACGAGTGGGGGAGGGGTAGGGAGAGTGGAGAGATGGATCGCAGGGAGGCGGAGGGGTGGGGGCAGCAAGGGGAGAGAGGGAGGGAGAGAGGGTAGAGGAGGGGAGAGGGGGGGGGGGGAGGGAGAGGGGGAGGGAGGAAGGAGGGGGAGGAGAGGGAGTGGAGCAAGGCTGACGGGAAGTGGGCAGGAGGCGGGGGGGATAGGAATGGAGGTGGCGAGAGTGGGGCGGGGAGGTAGGGGGGGAGGAGGTGGGGGACAGAGGGGGTAGGGGTGGAAGCGGGGAGAGAGAGAGCGGGGTGGTTGGTGGCGGGAGGCGAGAACCGAGAGGGCAAGAGGGCCGAGACAGAGA